TTTCGCCGGTAGCGGCAAAAATCGCGCGGTTTTTGGCCGCTAGCGGCCAAAAATCGCGCGATTTTGGCCGCTAGCGGCAAAAATCGCGCGATTTTTGGCCGCTAGCGGCAAAAATCGCGCGATTTTTGCCGCTAGCGGGCGAAAATCGCCCGATTTTTGGCCGCTAGCGGCGAAAATCGCGCGGTTTTTGGCCGCTAGCGGCGAAAATCGCGCGGTTTTTGGCCGGTAGCGGCGAAAATCGCGCGATTTTTGGCCGCTAGCGGCGAAAATCGCGCGATTTTTGGCCGCTAGCGGCGAAAATCGCACGATTTTTGGCCGCTAGCGGCGAAAATCGCACGATTTTTGGCCGCTAGCGGCGAAAATCGCGCGATTTTTGGCCGCTAGCGGCGAAAATCGCGCGGTTTTTGGCCGCTAGCGGCGAAAATCGCGCGATTTTTGCCCGCCAGCTGCGAAAATCGCACGGTTTTTTTTTGATTTTTGGCCGCTAGCGGCGAAAATCGCGCGATTTTTGGCCGCTAGCGGCAAAAATCGCATGGTTTTTGGCCGCTAGCGGCGAAAATCGCGCGATTTTTGGCCGGTAGCGGCGAAAATCGCGCGATTTTGGCCGCTAGCGGCGAAAATCGCACGGTTTTTGGCCGCTAGCGGCGAAAATCGCGCGATTTTTGGCCGCTAGCGGCGAAAATCGCGCGATTTTTGGCCGCTAGCGGCGAAAATCGCACAATTTTTGGCCGCTAGCAGCGAAATTCGCATGAGTTTTGGCCGCTAGCGGCGAAAATCGCCCGATTTTCGCCGCTAGCGGGCAAAAATCAGGCGATTTTCGCTACTAGCGGCCAAAAATCGTGCGATTTTTGCAGGTAGCGGCTAAAAATCGCCCGATTTTCGCCCACTAGCGGCGAAAATCGCCCGATTTTTGGCCGCTAGCGGCGAAATTCGCCCGATTTTTGGCCGCTAGCTGCGAAAATCGCGCGATTTTTGCCCGCCAGCTGCAAAAATCGCATGGTTTTGGCCGCTAGCGGCGAAATTCGCACGATTTTTGGCCGCTAGCGGCGAAATTCACACGATTTTTGGCCGGTAGCGGCGAAAATTGCGCGATTTTGGCCCGCCAGCTGCGAAAATCGCACGGTTTTTGGCCGCTAGCGGCGAAAATCGCGCGGTTTTTGGCCGGTAGCGGCAAAAATCGCGCGATTTTTGCCCGCCAGCTGCGAAAATCGCACGATTTTTGGCCGCTAGCGGAGAAAATCGCCCGATTTTTGGCCGCTAGCGGCAAAAATAGCGCCATTTTTGGCCGCTAGCGGCGAAAATCTGTCGATTTTTGGCCGCTAGCGGCCAAAAACCGCGCGATTTTCGCCGCTAGCGGCCAAAAATCGCGCGATTTTCGCCGCTAGCGGCCAAAAATCGCGCGATTTTTGGCCGCTAGCGGGCAAAAATCGGGCGATTTTCGCCGCTAGAGGGCAAAAATCGGGCGATTTTCGCCGCTAGCGGGAAAAATCGCCCGATTTTTGGCCGCTAGCGGCGAAAATCGCACGGTTTTTGGTCGGTAGCGGCGAAAATCGCACGGTTTTTGGTCTGTAGCGGCGAAAATCGCATGGTTTCTGGCCGCTAGCGGCGAAAATCGCACGATTTTTGGCCGCTAGCGGCGAAATTCGCACGATTTTTGGCCGCTAGCGGCGAAAATCGCGCGATTTTTGGCCGCTAGCGGCGAAAATCGCGCGGTTTTTGGCCGCTAGCGGCGAAAATCGCGCGATTTTTGGCCGCTAGCGGCGAAAATCGCACGGTTTTTGGCGGTAGCGGCGAAAATCGCGCGATTTTTGGCCGCCTAGCGGCGAAAATCGCGCGATTTTTGGCCGCTAGCGGCGAAAATCGCGCGATTTTTGGCCGGTAGCGGCGAAAATCGCGCGATTTTTGGCCGCTAGCGGCGAAAATTGCGCGGTTTTTGGCCGGTAGCGGCGAAATTCGCACGATTTTTGGCCGCTAGCGGCGAAAATCGCGCGAATTTGGCCCGCCAGCTGCGAAAATCACATGGTTTCTGGCCGCTAGCGGCGAAAATCGCGCGAATTTGGCCCGCCAGCTGCGAAAATCGCACGGTTTTTGGTCGGTAGCGGCGAAAATCGCGCGATTTTTGGCCGCCAGCTGCAAAAATCGCATGGTTTCTGGCCGCTAGCGGCGAAAATCGCGCGATTTTTGGCCGGTAGCGGCGAAAATCGCACAATTTTTGGCCGCTAGTGGCGAAATTTGCGCGGTTTTTGGCCAGTAGCGGCGAAATTCGCCCGATTTTTGGCCGCTAGCGGCGAAAATCGCGCGATTTTTGGCCGGTAGCGGCGAAAATCGCGCGATTTTGGTCCGCCAGCTGCAAAAATCGCACGGTTTTTGGCCGCTAGCGGCGAAAATCGCGCGGTTTTTGCCCGATAGCGGCGAAAATCGCGCGATTTTTGGCCGGTAGTGGCGAAAATCGCGCGATTTAAGCCCGCTAGCTCCGAAAATCGCATTGTTTTTGGCCGTTAGCGGCGAGAATCGCGCGGTTTTTGGCCGGTAGCGGCGAAAATCGCGCGGTTTTTGGCCGGTTGCGGCGAAAATCGCGCGATTTTTGCCCGCCAGCTCCGAAAATCGCATTGTTTTTGGCCGCTAGTGGCGAGAATCGCGCGATTTTTGGCCGCTAGCGGCGAAAATCTCGCGATTTTTGACCGATAGCGGCGAAAATCGCGCGATTTTTGGCCGCTAGCGGCGAAATTCGCACGATTTTTGGCCGCTAGCAGCGAAGACAAGGCGCTGGGATATGGTGGCAAGGAGCTGGGATATGAGGACAAGGAGCTGGGATATGAGGACAAGGAGCTGGGATATGAGGACAAGGAGCTGGGATATGTAAGTAGTAACTGATTGTAACCTATCCACCCACTGGACGTGGGGCGGTGTGCAGGACAAACATGTAAATTGCGACACTAGCTCTCAACTAGTCAGTTGCTTAATAATTTAGACACTACTAGTGGTCGGTGAAGAGCCCATTGTTGTGACGATGTGCATTAAATGGTGTAACTAGCTAAAGATTGTAACTGGCTTAGCTAAATGAATTGTGGGGTTCAGGGCCCATTGTGCCTCTTAACACTCCACTACCGCCCACAAGATGGGTATGGGGTGCATAATAAATGAACTTAAACTGCAAAGACTGATACCCTAACAGGTAAAGTGGACTTTGTATTTACATATACATATAGCATGTGATCCTTTTGTGTTCAGGTTTTCAAAGGATTCTGGGCTTTCTGCAAAAGCTTCTTTTCTAGTTTGTGGGCCTGTCTGCCTGTAGCAGTGTTAATTGCCAATTTCTCACCTTGCTTTTGTTGATATCCTGATCTCTTTTTCATTAGAGTATGTTAGTGTATCCTTTGTAGTATAGTACTTGTAATTATTCACAAGGATCAGGTTATCATCCAAAGTGCAATTATTTTTAATATACTTCTTTTTAGTGCCAGTACAGTACTTAAATTTGTCTAAATACAATCGCTAAATTTTGTTGCATAAATTAACTCTAGTACATAAATGTTGAAAATATCAGAGGAACCTACTTTAACTGATGACGGTGTGGCTCATGGGATGAGGGCATGCATATGGTGCTGGGCAGGCAGGCATGCGCACGAGAGTAAACCCAACTATTGTACACACTTGTATGCATTGTATTGGAAAGTATTGTATTATTGTATGCATTGCTTGGAAAGCAATGCATACTCCTCTCGATGTTCTTTACATGTTCCTATGGCTACAGCTTGCTATCCAAAACCTAAGTCTTTCTTTATTCAATAATTCTGTCAACATAATTTGTAAGTACAGTATTTTTTTTCTGGGGAGGGGGGGATCCAGGTAGTCAACCCAACAATTTCTTGTGGCTCTTAAAAACTAAGATGTTACACAGGATCATCTTGTTTAAAAACTATGTCAAGTCAGTCACGAGTCATCTGTTATGTTACTCAATGTTCAACCCATTTGGCTTTAATGATCGTTTCTAGTGTTTTGATTACCCCACTTCTTACCGATATAGTTTTCCAACCGTCCCCTATGGTCGCTTGTCCCGCGATAGAATTCTTGGCGACTCTTGATACTTTTGACATCGTTCGCCTTATGCATTTTTCTCGTATTGGCATCCTTGGTGATATTTAGCGCCCTCTGATTATCCCACATATTTGATGGTGCTACAGTACATAGCCTTCCCGGTTTGGTGCCTTCTTTTGATAATTACTTGCTTACTGATATAGATCTATAATTTAGGATCCCCTCTACCACATTTTATGTACATATGGAAAATGCAAACATAATACCTATGTATGTAGAGATTCCTGTGCACTAGTATGTCTGGAATATTAATTGGAGCGAATGTTCAGCTCAGTTGTGCATTCTTGCAGCACCCAAGGTGAAAGTCAAACTGCTTTATTTCTCCCTAGTCCCTTGAGTAATCTTTCCACTGCATCTTTGTGTATTCTATGGCGTACTGTGGAATTGGTTCTATGAAATCCTCACATTGTACAAACACACTTAGTGTTCATTTAGTGTTAATCACACATTTCTTTTTCATTCTAAAGTCCTGTCCAACCACTTGGGCAGGACAAGTGACACTCTTCATGCAGGTCGGCACTCAATCCCGGCTGTCCAAGTGGTTGAGCACCATTCCTCCCAGTCCCATCCCAAATCCTTATCCTGACCTTATTCCAAGTGCCACAGTCGTACCCCTTAACATTTCCTCTTGGTCCTGTTCTCAATTTCTGGATTTTATCCTTTGCACACACGTCTGTCTGGAGAATTGAGCTATTGCATCTTGGACCCTTCTCTTCTAACCAATCTATTTCCTCTATTATATCAACTACATGCATGTTTTGCCTAGTGCACATGCAGCCTGTAGCAGTTGTCTAACTCCCAGGTACCTATTTATGGCTAGGTGAACAGGGGTATAAGGTGAAAACTGCCCATTCCCCCCACTGACAAATTGTGACCAATAGGAAAATAATGTTATTACACAATTTGATCAGTTCAGTTTATTTAGCCCACTTTAATCATTTATGGTTTGACTCGAGAGATTACAGTAGAAAATGGCACTTTGAAACACAGATACGTCATGCTCAGTTGAAGGCCAGAGACAGGACATGTTCACAAAAATACAGCTTATACCATTCACATTAAAAAAATATTTCGCATAACATACTGTAGTCTCCAAACTACTGTATTGCTTAACACATACATTTCAGAATTTCTGCTGTTTTGTGTGTATATTTATTATTAAACATGTATATAAAATTGTATGAAACGTATACATAATGTGTGGTTTCTCTTATTTTCCATTTTTACAAATTGGTTAAGTTCTTGAATGAGTTTCATTTTAGAATGAAGCAAAGCTTCCTAACATTACATGAATTAAGTATTATTCTGTGCATATACATGTCCAATAATAAACATCCTGTTAAATATTCATTTTAACATTAGTTTTTGTAAATAAATACTGTTGTAGTATTGTTCATGTAGATAGAACTAGTGCCCTAATATTGTTAGGGCACCCATTGTAACGAAGAATAATAGCATAATGTGGGAATGCACACTCAAACTAATATATTTATGATTACAGTATATATTATCAAATTTACTGTGAAGGAACATGCACAGTACTGTGTGTGTGTATATATATCTGATCTTCTTGGAAATTTCATTCTTATGAGGAACAATAGCATCTGAGAGATGCATCTTAATTTTATTCAAAACATTTCAGAGAATATACTCCATCAGTGGTAAAACCGAACATAATCATCCATAAAAGTAAATCCACATCGATTAAATTGACTAAGACAATAAAACCTATACAAACAAAAAGAGCAAAGGTTATGTACAATATAGAAAACAAAACAAGACATCACATCAAGGCAAAAATTAGTGAGTGAACAGTCGAGTAGAAGACCCAGAATTGTTTAACTCGGTCACATTGTTTATTCAGGTACACTTTCAAGATGCTGTGATATAGTTCATAGGAATTGGAAGCCAGAACAATGAAATTGCTGTGAGGATGGCTTATTCACGGTGATTTCTAATAGCGAAGGACGCAACTTGCATATGGCACAAACCTGTGTGGTGAGAGAGACCTGAGCTCGCACATACGGTTTTCAAGGTGTCATGAGGCATGCTCCCATGCAATGAACATATTGCTATTGTGATTTCTGTGTGCCTTGTATCAAGTGAACAAATCCACTAGGGCCGTGATGAGGGTTCGAACCTACGCCCGGGATTATCCCGAACGTGCCTTAGTCAACTGTGCCACGACATGGTCAAAAGAATTGCAAACTGGAGTGCTACTGCCCTCACGAGGATCCTGCAGCTTCTCTGAAGCACAAACTGGGGTTTCACACAATTCCCCCATGCACCCAGACTGACTAACAGAGCCCAGGTGCATGAGGGGAATTGTGTGAAACCCCAGTTTGTGCTTCAGAAAAGCTGCAGGATCCTCATGAGGGCAGTAGCACTCCAGTTTGCAATTCTTTTGACCATGTTGTGGCACAGTTGACGAAGGCGCGTCTGGGATCATCCCGGGCATAAGTTCGAACCCTCATCACGGCCCTTGAGTATGTGTTAGCATGACAGAACATTTAAAAAGCTAACCACCACCAGATCTGAGGTCAAAAGGCAAAGGTTGTCTATATAATTAAATAGTTTCCAGTATGTAGTATGATTATTGGTAAACAAACTGAAATCTACTTTGTGAATAGAATTGTCTAAGAATATTATTAAGTTTCTTTCAGTGATAGTTAACAGTACTGTACCAAAAACTTGTTTAAGAACTTGCTTAAAATTCAGTAAAATACTTTGCTTGGAAAATTTTTTTACAGGATTTTGGGGAAATTCTTGAATGCTAAATTTTTATCCCTCTTCAAAATTCCTGCAGTCCCTAAAGATATTCATCGTCAAATTTCCTTATTTGGATACTGTTAGCTATCACTGAAAATCTTCATAATATTCTTTGACATTCCTATTCACAAATTAGCTTCGTTTGTGTTTACCAATAATCATACTATTGGAAACTATTTAATTACATAAGAACCTTTGCCTTTTGACTTTGGATCTGGTGACCTCGGATTTTAGCTTTTTAAAAGTTTGAACTGTAATCTCTTGTCACACAGGTATCCCATACTACACAGGATTGGCCTTTAGGCAAATTGAATTTTCTGCTATTGGAGATCACCGTGACGAAATGGAGCAATTTCGGATCAAAATTGATCAAAATTTCCCCCCCCCCCCCCCCCCCCTCACAGCAATTTCACTGTTCTGACTTCCAATTCTCATCGACTATATTTCAACATCTTGAAATGTATATTTACTGTAAACAAAATGAGACCACCATCTTAAACAATTCCAACTGTTCAACTCTACTGTTCACCCACTAATTTTTGTTTTGTTGTAGTTTGCTACATCTTTTGATGTTTTATCTCTATTTTACATATAATGTTTTCTGTTTACTTTGTATATTTCTTGTTAAAGTTTTATCATGGTCTTGTTAATGGATACTGATTTATATAAATTTTAACTTTAATGATTTTTAGCTAACTTTGCTGCATATTCCTTTGTTTTAGGACTGAGGGAGCATATTCTCCGAATTGTTTGTTATGATAAATTATCGATGTATTTTTCTGGCACTACTATTCCTTTATATGTATGAGTTTCTGGTACTACCTATTCCTTTATGTGTATGTTTATACACACACTGAGGTGTGCATGCATAAATTTTTCCCATTCTATATGGAAGGCTTATTTTCCATTCTATACTGGAGTGTACATTATATATATATATATTTTTTACACATCATATATATACACACACACACACACACACACTACTGGCATTGTCAGTTACTTATGTGCTGGTATTCTTGTACTTTTAAAACATTTAATGCACTACCATTAAAATCTCATCAACACTTTGGCAGTTCAGCCTCTCCATGTGTTCCCAAGTGTAAACATTCTGGGTTCTCAAGGCCACTTAGCAATGCAAACAATATTGTTCAAGAAACTTTCACTATATTTTCGAAGTTATTTTTGGGTTATATATAAATTTGGTGTCAAAATGTTCACAAATGAATAGAATAGATGCAAACACAAAAATGTATTTAAGTAAATTATGCGTGACAGAGATGAATATCTGAATGTTTATGAATACCAATTGGACGATGCATTTCTTTAGTGTCGTCAGAACTTTTACTGTCGGATTACAGATGCAATTTTAGCATCCTTGGAATACGAAAGTGTTATTATGGAGTAGGAAACACCAAATACAAATTTAAAGCCTTTCTTACACAAATTAATGTAAAGTAATTAACCAAAAAAGTTTAATTTGAATCAAATTGCACTAAATCCCTTCTTTAATCGACATTGAAATTTTATCTGTATCCACCAGCAAGCCATGAAAACCCAAAATATAAATCAACATGCATACTGTTCTATACTCTGTGACCAATTATCAAGCTGCATTTTCAGTACCAACACTGTTGAAACCAACTTATTCATTTATATTTAATTTATATATAACACTTCACAGATGTTTTCCCAACTGAAGAGCTAACAGCATTTCATTTGTGAACTTTAGAATATATACACACATGATTACAACATAAGATATAAGTATACAGAATGGGTTTTTAAATGGGTTGTATAACTAAACTCATTCTTTCACTCACTGTGGGCATTGTGCTAATACAAAGGGTTGAAAGCATTGTTTACAATAGAAGATCTTGTTAATTTTCTAGGTAGTGTAGTTTAATTGTTTAAATTTCTCATTAGTGTAATTCTTTGATTATATCCTTCTGTACCGCACAATGAGTGGTGAATGCCCTGACTTACAAATAATGTTTTGAACCTGGATAAAAATGTGATTTGTGTTTCACATATGAATACATGAACATTACAGAATAATGACTAGGTTTAATACACATGAATAATCTCATATATACAGTATATATATATATATATATATATATATATATATATATATATATATATATATATATATATATATAAAAATGTGTGTGTGTGTGTGTGTGTTTGATTATATATAATCACACACACATGCACACACACAAAATGCAAAAGTAGTCCCTAAAAAAAGGTTGCATTTATTATGCACGAGAATGCCATCTTTTCTCAACTGTGTATTTTATGTCATATCTGGTGAAACATAAAATATTCTTGCAATTAATTTAGTGCAATAAGTATGCAAAAGACTTAGATTAAACCTTTGAGCATTTGCTAATACATTCTACAATATAAAACACTTAAGCCAACAGGATAAACATAGTGGATGCCTGTTGTCAAGAAGTTTCAAATCTAAATAACCCTGAGCATAAGAACCTTGTATTTAATGACCTAGTAATGAAACTTAATAAGTAAGACATTATCTAGTAATATAATTTGTGAATTTGGAAATGAGGTTTTGAAATCCTGTACCCTAGTTCCAAAATAAATTTTTGTGCTTCTAAGACTAAGCTAAATACAACGTGTAATTGGACAAAGCATACACAAGTGCAGTATTCTTGCAGATGGGCAGTAGGTCTGATTTTTTTATTCAATCAACTTTTAACTATATAAATAATACAATTTCAACTAACGTTAACTTCACTTTTCTGAGCACAATTATGGGAATATAGCAAATTTCTTGTTAAGTTTTTTGAGCACACTTTGCCAGACGACATTGTTATCCTTTAGTGTATAAAATTATCTCGTAAATAATAAAGCTTATCCTAACTGAACATAGGACTTTTCCAAGTGCTCAACTTGTCAACTAATCATCTTCCCGAGTGCCCATCATGTTGACATTTATTACAAATAGCTCTGAAGCTTTTGAGTAGCAGTTTTGGTTGTTGAAGTACTAACTTATGTTTCCCGACCTTATGATTTATACTTTTATCAGTTGCTTTATAATACTATCTGATCAGATTTCACATGACCAAGATATTGTATGCATATAAACAATGCGGTCCAGTAAACACACAATGCTTTGAAAATAGTTTCAGCATTTATGTTGCCACAACATGATATAAATTTAAGCCTTTCAACGATGTGGTAAAAATGTTTGCTTTACACATTCAGTTAACACAAAAATATTACTAATTTTTTTTTTTTTAGTGAAAGATTTATATTGCTATAATAGTTTCACCACTGAGGTAAATTACACATTGAAAAATTCTTCCGAGAATAGCATTTGCTCATAGCAATCTATTTTTAGAAATGGCACATCTAAGCTGAATGTGTAAAGAAAACTGAGCATTAAGTATGTAATATACTATTAACTATCTCGTATTGCGTTTCATGTTTCACACGTAAAGGTAAAATCTAATTTAATTAGTCTTGAAATCTAATAAGGGTTCTTAATAATATTATTTAAAGAAAAATTGTACAACAGTTACTTTGAGGACACTGGTAATTATGTCTGCTTTTAATTTATATGTTGAAAACAAGTTCTCGGACAAATTTTTAAACAGTGTATCCAGAAGCATAATACAGTTTGTGTACGGAAGAGCTGGTATCTGTTTTGTATCATACATCAGATTTCCTGTTTGTTTCATATGTAACATTTAACAGACAACAAATTTGTCAAGTACAGATAGCTAAGAGGTCACAACAGTTGTCAAATTAGGCTTAAATTTGTTGAAAAAAGGTTTAAACAGTTGAAACAAACGCTAGAATTTCCTGCGTGATTTTTTTGCTGCATTTCGTAGCACTGTGTTTACAGACCTTTGAATGTTTATGTACATTTCAATACAGTAATGGCAACATCTATATTTAAATTATTAAAATTTACTAGAACTTTTAACACCAAGTTCTTCACATTTCTATATAATATTCTAATCAAAATTTGCACTAATGAGTTTTTTACTATAGGAAACATGTTTAGGCCTCTCTCTCATGCTCAGTATCATAAATTAAAACATGTATACCAACATCTGAATATTTACTCTATTTTCTGCTAAAGTTAAATTAAGAACACATTTTGGAAAGTAATTGGAAAATAAATAAATATATATATATAGAAGTACCATGTAAAGTAAGTACAATTAAAAATATACACTAATTCCATCACTATCAGGGATTGTCTAACGAGGCTCTATATCACTAAACTGTGCACTTTTTGTGTATTCCTTCTGTATTTTACACAAGGTCTGTGTAAGATCTGTGACAAGGACAGACGACACATGCTACCCAAACCCTGATTCTTTGAAGACTGGGAGAAACAGCAACTTGACAAGTGTAATATTTGTGCAAACTTTGGGTGAAGTTTTAGACATGCATATGTTTGCCAAGACATATAAATAAACAAAATCTAGTAATTTCAATCTTGGCAAACTTTAAAAGTGACATGTCCATAAAAAAGTAAAAAAAAAATCTTATACCTAAATTTGTTGCAAATCAATATTCAGGACTGATAAATTATTAATAATGAAAAAAAATGCCTGTGAAATTTACATTCACAGCATATTTTAAACCTATAAATAACTACCTCTAACTCCTGAAGCTGTTGCATCTGTTACTAAGGTTTTCAGCAGTTCTCTCCTTTTTTTTCTGCATAAAGGTCCGTTTTGTGCTCCTTAGGCATAAACAAAATACACTTTAGCCCTGTTATGTGCAACAGAACATACCGTTTTAGTCAGTTTTATGCATTGATTTGCATACATGTCCAATTCTTCCCAGATTTAAAGAGGATACGCACATTTGTCATTAAAAAATTCTAATCTGACATACTACACAGAACACAATTTCCTGAAGACAGTATAATGCAGATCAACTATTTCAACAAGCAGTTATAAAGAACACAACTGCTTGCATGCACTGATTTCACTCACCTGACGATGTATGTGTAATCACATCTGAGTGACCACTAGTGTTACATGAACCTGATTTTTTTTATCTATTCTAGCACCTAAAAGGAGGTTTTGTACACTGAAATGGGGTCCCAGTATGATTATCATCCTTTATTAACAACGTGTGAAACAAACAAATTGTTCAGTTTCAATAACCCTTTCACAGGTTGGATGATACTAACTGGTGGTTGTTTTAATTTCTGTATCCTGCATAGGGAAGGACTATCGCAGGTATTAGTACAATCTAATATAATGGTTCCTCTTATGGCCACTGATTAGTCACTAGATGGTGCAGTTTCAACACCCATACCTGCATCATCGCTATTATTATTGTTGTTGGTGTTGTTGTTGTTGTTATTGTTAGGTCTGTCCTTGTTCAGGGCTTCATCGGCAAGCATTTGCCAGTTCTTCCTGTTGTCCACAACCCCTTCGAGCAATGGTTTTAATTCAGACGTCAAGTCAGCAAAGACCTAACATTGAGAAATATTGTTAAAGTAATTTCAAACATATCCATAAGATAAAAAGTCAGACTTATTAAATAAATTCATGTATTAATATGGCGATTTTTATTATTTTATGGCTTCTTACCTCTGTGAACCCTATCATTTGATTTTCCTATACTGTACAAATTGCAGGCACCACTAAACCTTAAGGCTTTTCAAGGAACTCTTGAAATATGTACTCGATAATTCCACATGTTAAATTGAGATTTAGACACTTCTTGCGAGTTACATCCTGGGAGAAGGTGTCATTGACGAGAGGAACTCCTAACAGGCTTCTTATTTCCAACAACATTAAACCAATTCAATTTATGAATGAGGAAATCTGAAGACAATTTCAGAAAGCAAACACTGTACTGCTTAATGTAAAATTCAAAATGGAAGAAAACAGTAATGATATACCAGTATACTATAATGGTTAACAATAGGGAAAAGAAAAATGTTACAACCACTCAATGGACAGTAATTACCTAAGTGTACTTGCATGATGAGAACGACTCGTTGCGTCCCATCATCCTAGTACTGTACAGTACTGTCCTACGAGACCTTGAAACTACTGTACTGTATGAGCTTGCTTATCCAGTTTCCGCTAAACCGGATATTTACGTTATCCAGCCAAAATCGCATCTGGATAATTTTCAAGCAAAACTTCGCAATGTCTGGATAGTAAACCGGATAACCAGCGGTTTGGCCAGATACCACAGACAGGCATAGAGCTTAAATCAAGTCCGGATAATTTTCTGGCAAAACTTCTCCATATCCAGACAGAAATCTGGATAACCAAAGAATAGGTTACGTAAATTTTCAACAATTACACATTTCAAGATCTACGTTATCAAATGCGAAGACAAACTACAACAAGGTAATCTTTAGTTTTTCTTTTAAATTATATTTCTGATTTATAGTGCGTGTTGAAGTTCAAATTATGTTGGGGTACAAAAAGTTGTGAATACAGTATGGTTATTTTTTTACTAGACCTGTAAGAATTCTGCTTATCTAGATGTCTGGCTTATCCAGATGGGGGTCCTTCTCACATAGTCCGGATAATTGAGCTCATACAGTACTGACAGTTTTGCCATCCACCACCACCTCACTTGTTCCATCTACTTAAGTGGGGGAAAATAACATTCATTTCCTAGAGTATGATGCCAGCCAGACAGAAAGGTGAGCAAATCACACAGTAACACTTAAATTTATTCTCTGAATAAGTAACAAGAGATAGTAGAAGGGGTACATTTTTCACTACAGCAGTGACTAGTGAAAAATGGGATATTTAAAGCCAAGAAGTCAAGCAACATGGAAACAGGAATCCAAAGTATCACCCGAGGAGATTTCATATCCAATGAAAGGAAGTCTCGTTCAGCTCCCACTCCATTCTAATCGGACAAAACCGGGAAAAAACTGTCCACTAAGCTAACATATTTGACACCCTACAGATGTAATGGCAGGTATGTTATCTTGAGATGATTTCGGGGCTTTTTTTTAGTGTCCCCGCGGCCCGGTCCTCTACCAGGCCTCCACCCCCAGGAAGCAGCCCGTGACAGCTGACTAACACCCAGGTACCTATTTTACTGCTAGGTAACAGGGGCATAGGGTGAAAGAAACTCTGCCCATTGTTTCTCACCAGCGCCTGGGATCGAACCCAGGACCACAAGTCCAGTGTGCTGTTCGCTCGGCCGACCGGCTCCATTAGCAGCTATGTTTGATATAGCTGCTACAGATGCATTCACTGAGAAGACAAGTGTCAGAAACTTCATAGGAGATTGCCGAACTTCATAAAAAGAGTCGGGGAAAGTTCCAGAATTGAATGTGATGTTAAACCAAGCTGTATTAGAGGATTTTTAGATAACCAAAGATACAAAGGCACCTTCTGAAGCTGAACAAGGCTAAGATGGTAAAGCCAGATAGGATTTCACCATGGATACCAGGGGATCCTTGACATATAAATATCCAACTGATGAATATCTGATCTTACAAACAACCTCCAATTTTAGCCCGTTTTCCTGCTATACAGTACAACCCATTTCTGAAGTTCACACATGAACAACAGTACTACTAACATTTTTACCTTTTAATTTATTTAATTTTAACCTTCTCACTCCACAATCATCAAACAGGGATGATCGGGCCATATTTGTCTACATTGTGCAAGTCAAACAAGGATGATTAAGAGTACTGCGTAAGGTTTAAAAGTCCCATGCATTTAAGGGGGCAACCAGACACTCTCCAAGAACAATCTTATACAGCTGCCAAATTGAAAAATCCTGCATTGGAGGAAAGGTCTCATATCAAGCTATCAAGGCTGATGCATGCTCCACTGCCTCACAATGTCACCCTGTCGCTTGCTGCTAGTAACCGCTGACCGATGATGAAATTCAGGATGAATTGTTTCCAGCAAGAGAGGAAAGTGATGATGATGATTCTGACATGGATAAGTTTATGCTCAGGGCTCAGATGAAAGTGATACAGACAGTGATATTGATGCACGTGTGTCTGTCCCCAGGACGAGGCCTACAACACCACCACTCTACAAAAGGAACATGATGGACAATTCTCTCTAGGTCGGATACTCACCACTCCATGAGAGTGGGAAGCAGAAGAGGGGGAGGGTTATAGCGATTATTATTATTATTGTCCGTTTGATCAGTAAATTTATATCTAAAATTGCAATACAGTACTACAGTACTTATGTACACAATGTGATATCCCAAATATTTTTACTTTTAAATAAACATTATTATGATAATTATCGTAATAATAGTTATATTCCAACAATAATTGTATCGTATCAGAGCCGTGAGATGACGAACTAGTTGGTTCAAGTCACCTCATGGCTCCAATTGATTTTCTCATCGTTATATATCATGTTAGTGTGATTTCTTTGTATATCTGAAACTGGATCATACTGTTGATGAACTACTATACCTACACCAGAGTGCTTGGGGCTTATATGTAAAACTTGGACTTAATTCGGTAGAAGCCTCCAGACTAACTGGAGTCAGTGGAATTTCAGGTTGTATAACTTATACCATATCGTGGTACAGGGGTATGGTGTGCGGGTGGGAGTACCCCAATTACTGGTTCAAGTCATCTCATTCCTATTATTATTACATAATAATGTGATGTTGGTTTAATGATGATAATTCTAAAATTTAATTTGCCTTAAAATTGAATTAGAGACAATATATAACGGCAACAAAATCTGTCCAGGTTACCTCATACACTGGTAGGCAAATTGAGTCTATGAAGAGAACTTGCATCTGTGGGAGTTTATCTTTCTTCTCACGATTCATCATATCCTGGAAAGACCAATGTGAGTATGAATCACAGTCTTGCACAAGACAATCTATGTATTTACAGCAATGTACAAACATTTACTGGGTTTGCAAAGTTAAAATAAATTAAATGGATAATTAAAACCCTGTCTGCCTAAGGTACAAGTTTATCAAAACATTCAGGACTGTATTCCACCTATTAAATTTTATTTATTTATAGATACAAGAGTTCTTACAATCTTGTACAGCCACTAGCACGCATAGTGTTTCGGGCAAGTTTCCTAATCCTAATTTACACACACACACACAGGCGGGTCCAAAGAGCCAGAGCTCAACCGGGACCAAAGAGCCAGAGCTCAACCCCCGCAAGCACAATTAGGTGAGTACACACACATCTCCAGGAAGTAGCCTGTAGCAGCTGTAACTCTCAGGTACCTATTTACTGCTAGGTGAACAGAGAGCATCAGGGTGAAAGAAACTCTGCCCATTTGTTTCCGCCCTCGTCGGGGGATTGAACCCAGACCCTTAGGCCTACAAATCCCAATTGCTGTCCACTCAACCATCCGGCCCCAGAAATATTTATATTTTATTATGTGCCATTTTTGGACCCAAATGGTGCTGGATACCAACATATTTTGGTAACCAAAGAGCACTTACCTATAGTTTTAACTAATATTCTAAAATGGAGAAATTTATTCTTTAAATATACTCCTAATTTTTTCATGAACAACATTACAACAATTAAAAGCAACTTTTGAATGAGCAAAACTTACAATTGGAGTAATCTTTAGCTCTTCTTTTTCAATGTCTCCCTGCTCAAAGAATTCTCCAGCTACAAGCTCAGCAACCTGGAAAAACGTAAGAAAAATCAGATGAGTATAGCAACCAAGGAAGATATCCCAAGTCCCATTTGCCGACACATTTCATAATACAAATATTTTGAAATGTTCTTACAAATACACCCAAAAAATACACGTCTGGGGTGTTTAATGTGACAACAATTGCTTTCTTGTTTTCCTCAGATTTACTGCTTTCCTTATTGCTTATATCTAGTGAAACGTATATTATATTTGATTCATCAGTGTTTTTGCTCTTATTACACTATATACACATGTTATATATAACTATCTACATTTTTTTGTACACCATAATGAACCACTAAGCTGGTATGATGTGGCCAAACCTCACTCAGCAAGATTCCTCCTCCTAATACACTACACACACATCGTTAATTCTCAGCATAATGCTGGTGTTATCAGAATCTTGGTCACTAAATCTTGTAAATGAATAATTTTCCACAAGTTTATTTTGTAAAGGACCATGAAAAGTAGTTTCAAGATGCTAATATGGGCCAGATAATGGCAGAGTGTGTTGTGGCTGTCTGCCTAGCACTGTGAACATCTTTAACAGCATTGTTTTCACTGATATCTGAACATTGTACATTCTTTATCACAGGCTCTTCTATAATCACTAAATAATAGCAGTTACATATATATTTTGTCATTTTTAAGTGATGCTGTGGTCACAAGCTGAACAGCAGTGTTGTTAGCTCATGCTGCATGTGCCAGCCTCGGTTGCTCACTCAGTACAGAGGCCTTTACACCCAGGAATGATGCCCACAATTTTTTGTTTTTTTTTGTATGGCAGCTGTTTACTGGAGCCCTGAGGAAGCCGGTGTGAACCCCGTGTAGCCTCGGGACTTAAATCCCGTGAAATACTCAAACATATATGATATGCGCACTGCAATCAGTTAGGTAAAATTATACAGTATATGATTTGAACACTGGAAAGATTAAATTTGCATGGCAATTTTCAGGATTGCAACTTGCACAAAATTAGAGATGCCTGTGCTCTTAAGCAGAGTAAAGCATCAAAGATTCAATCATACAGAAATAATGAATCACAGAAGGATGCCTTTCAGCATTCTTCAATAAAGAAGTCTGAAGTGTTGTTACAGAAATTATATTTTAACAAGGAGCAAAGTTGCAGCAAATATTTTTAATTGTGTGAAAAAGTATGTGAGCAAACCTGTTTCTGGATTGCCCACGGCTTAGTAATAGCAGCAATATCACAGATAGTCATCATCATACCACGAAGCTGGACTCTACACTCTTCCTTCTTGAAGTCATATTGTTTTCCCTTCACCATAGAGAAGAATCCTCCGCGCTTCCTGCCAGTAAAATGTAAATAGTTAAACACAGAAAACATACAATTCTTGTTTGATCTCCATGCAAATTAGAAAAAAAATTATATAAAGTATGCCTAACACTGCATATTTTCTAATGAGCCCCAGAAATAATGTAATAAAATTACATTTTCTGTATAGCACCTAAGTAGCTCCTCAGCGTGTATGTCCTACTTCTCCGTAGGGCCAGAGGTTGTGGCACTGGTCCCTCCTCAGGCACAACTATAACAGTTCTAATGTCTGTGGCTCAACTGGTTATTCAATTTTCACCTGTAAGCTCGAAGAAACTACCGAGGTTATGCACAGAAAGTGGCTCTATTTTTTAAATAATATTACCAAAGTTTATTCATTTATCTTACAGTTATTATAAATTGTATTAGATAATAATGGTCAATGATGAAGCATAAATAATGTGGTGTATACTCCCATATCAACTTTATTCAAGTTATTACAGTATTAAACATCACATTACCTGAAGTAGACTGCCAAGTCGGTAGCAAGGATTGCATCTTCCATGACACTGATCACCCTCGAGTACTCATCAGGGGTGCAGTTGCTAAGGATCTGATTCCCTGCAGAGTTGAGGATCATAACACTTTGATCAAAGTGGTGATGTTCCATAGTTGATGTTGTATACAGCTGAGCCAGAGGTGATGATGCCCTAAGAAAGAAGTATTTAGAAAATTTTCACACTTCTAGAAACAGAGTATAATAAAAGAACAAAAGAGGATTGGAAAAGTATAATTACTAAATCTAAATGCTTCTTAAGTGGAATCTCTTAATGTTGACCAAACCAAAGCGACAATGTTGTGGAGCGACTTACCCAAGATATATTGTTGCGTACAGGTTATATTAACTTAGGTTTGGACAGGAGAGGATAGGTTTTGTTAGTTTATGTTTGGGTAGGTAGGTTAGGTAGGTACAGGAGGCTGATATTCCAGCAAATACTCTTTAGGCAACAATGTGTCTTGGATAAGTCGCTCCACAACATTGCCGCTTGGATGGTCGACTTGCTTTGGCATCACCAGCAACTTATTTTTGTCCAATATCATTATGAAATGATACTTTTTCAGAGTAAAAATATGTTTTTTCCATGTTCTACATTCAGCACTAACATTGTAACGAGTAAATATATCATTTATTCATTACTAGCGTAATGCCAGGAAGCTTTGGGTGGCTTTGAGTGGCTCTGGATAGCTGTGGGTATTAGACCCCCTGGGTGCATGCAGACGACGAGTCACAATAATGTGGCTGAAGTATGTTTACCAGACCACACACTAGAATGTGAAGGGACGACGACGTTTCGGTCCGTCCTGGACCATTCTCAAGTCGATTGTGAGAATGGTCCAGGACAGACCGAAACGTCGTCATCCCTTCACCTTCTAGTGTGTGCCCTGGGTGCATCTGGCACCCAAGATGCACCAGGCCTCAAGAGGCCTGGAGCATCTTCTAAGGCATAGCTAGACCAGTGAATAGCTATAGGGGGTTACTGTGAGGACATCCCCAAAAATACTGAATCCTGCCTCAAGTTGCTTACTTGATCTGGAAGGAATTGTTTGTGCCTCGGTGGTCGAGATCATGACACAAACACGCCACCAAAAGAGCCAAGCATTCCAATTCACCCAAAACCTTCCACCACTGTGTAGTCTGAAAATATAACAATTTATTACCATCAACACCTAGTACCCTTTCTTGGAGAAAACAGAAATATTGCAAGTAAATGTTAAAGAAACTAGAAATAATGCAATAAATTTGACGCCAAAAATGTTTCAGAACATAAGACAAATTTAACATGATGAAAGAGTGGCACACTCCAGTAATGTAAAATTGTGTGCCAGATAAAATACTATATCAACACAAAATCTAATAATTTTTTAATGTTTAGTAACACTAGCAGTTATCCATCACATTATCCATATAAAAACCTTGATGCAAAATTAAAGATATTTTGCCAATGTTATAATTTATCCGAGACATAATTTGTATTTCTACCTTGACAAACTTACTGGATAGTTAACTGACAAAGTCATTATTATTATTCACTGAGCTGCATGTAGGAACAGAAATTGTATTATGGATAAAGTTTCACTAGCCGGAGTTTTTTCCTATTTGACTTAGGACAGCTCTTGCCAGCAAATTATTACTCACAAAGTTCCTGTTTGCACATGGTAATTTGCTGTACAATATATTTATTTAATTATTTATGTGACAACTTAGGAGTAAATTTATATTATTTTCCTTATACTGTACTGAATTCTCAATTTTAGGAACAAATTAATCTTAAAATTTCTTGTTCCTACAGAATTAGGAATATATAGCTACGATTCCTATCCTTATGTGACTTATGGTACTAGTGCCAAGGGCTCTACAACACAAACCTACCTCAGGCACACAATTATTCGACACAAATCAGAATATAAACAAATAAAAAATAAATTAATCCCAAATAGCATGCAACACCTTTATTTAAACCTTGGAACATGCCGAGTATGAAGGCAGTATACACACACAATCTCAAGTATATTTTATATCTTTAAAACCTGAAAGAGCAATACCAATCCCAAGCTCAAGAGCTTCTTAGAATACAACAATAGAACTCACATACACCACAGAGAAAATGAGTAACTAATTGATGATGTTCCAAAAGTTTGGCTCAGCTAAAGCAGAAATGTCATGATGATAAAGGTTCCTGCTCTAAAAGAGCAGGAACGAAGAATTTTTTTGTTTTTCTATAAGGTAATAGGGGTAGGCAAGCCAGTGAAATGGTACAAAAAGGCAAACCAACAAAATCACTAGAGGGAAAGGGGAAGTAAACAAGGGTAGGGGGGAACATGTTCCTGGAAATTATATATACTAACATAGATGGAGAGAAAAAATATTGCAGCTAAATGATATAATGCAGCTGAAGACACCAGACATGTTGCATTAATTGAGACAAAACTCACAAGAAGATATTTTAAATGAGGTCATGTTCTCGTGGGCTACTCATTAAGGCGACGGGACAGAAAACTAAAAAAGGCGGTGGTGTTGCTGTGCTGGTGAAAGAACACCTAAAGGTAAACAATGATTTCCAATCCTCAAGAAGTTGACATATCACTGGAGATTTGTAATCTAGATGATAAACTGATAATCATAAACACCTTCAGTCCACCGGCATGCAACACAGGAACAAAAGAGGAGCTGGCCAACAAATGAGAGGGTCTCATAACAATCATGAAATATATTATAGTAAGAGCGGATAAAGATAGATCACGACTGTTAATACGCGATGACTTCAACTTTAAATCCATAGACTGGGAGGCCTACAAAGCAAGAACAAAGGACATTTGGACTGGTAGATTCGTAAACCTCATCCTGGAGACATTTATGTATCAACACACTAAACAACTTAAAAGAATGAGAGCAGGGGAATGTTCCTTTAATGGTAGATTTGATGTTCACCAGGAAAGAGACATGGCATGTGAGCAAGTGTTCTTTGTGGACCTTGGCTGTGGCTTAGTTAAGAACCCAGGGAACTCAAAAATTTTATTATTTAGACTAAAGCCCCCCAAAAAAAAAGAATGATATAAAGTTTCTTCATTATCCACACATTAATACCGATTTATTCATACTACAGCAATGAACATTGTATACACTAAAAGTATGGGAAGTGACTAACACTGTTCACAAATGATCCATTTTTGATTTCCAGAGGGAAGAAATACTCTAAACAAAGTTTTTCTATTCCATCTACCTTGTACACCAGCAGTGCTTGAGAACCTGGTTCCAGTAGCTGAATTGTTTTCTGGTGGCAAAATGCTAGGTTTAAGTTTAAAATATCTTTGGTGTGATAAAAGGGATAGAAACTCCCATGCTAATTCCTGATCACTTCAAGCATTAGTAGTGCAGAAATAAGAAGAACTGCAGTACAGTACAAGTAAAGAAAACAAAAAACAGCATATTTATTGTCTGAATAAAAAGAGAGTTCAGGTTCTTACTGTGATAATGGCAAACATCATCTGGGCAACGTTGAAAGCATGCCGCCAATTGTGATAGGTCACGTTACGGTAGTTCTTCTTGACACTTAACAACCACCGGCACAAAACCTCATACTCTATGTGGAACCTTCCAATCAAATCAAGGTCTAAGAACATTCTCAAACAAGCCTGAAAAATTCAACATGTTTTAAGAATTTAATGGTTCTTATAAGTAGAAAATTTGGTCATATACTGTAATATAAAAAATTGGTCCTTATGTACCAGTGATGATAAATCATTTACTCTAGTCTTTCAAGATAGATGTTGTTACATGTAACTTTGGGTACGAGGATTAACTTATAACACTACTTGAGAAATAAAGTTTGCATGACTTAACATTCCAGACATAACGGCTACAGTAGGGAAGAGGCAGTCTGTTTTGAATAGACTACTACCAAAAGTAATCGTCTTACAACCAACAAATGGCAACGCAGTGTATGTTGTGATGATATCTTGGTGCACACTGTGAGTGCGGCTAGATCCATGTTGTTGAATTTATGTTATTGTTTACTAGCTCATTTTTATGACTTCTCATTTTGAAGATGCCAGAACTACTTCCCATACAAATTTAACAAATTTAAAGTATTCAAGATATTATTATTTCATTATTATTATTCTACATTTAATTTGTTATATTCGAACATATTTGAACATATTTTATATTGTTATATTTGAACAATTTGTACTAGTTATATGATTTGGAGAGTTGTATGACATTCCTTCAATTATTTTCACTACAGTACAGAAATACAATATTTTAAGATACAGTAATAAATAAATGTATAGTCAAATAATGATTCAGTATTAACATACCAAGACATTACTAGTCGTATTGTGATATACTGCACTGTTAATCGAACTTTCTCTGGTTAGGCCTATAATATGGACTGAAAAAGAATTCTAAAGTTACATTGAACATTATTCATATCGTTTTTAACGCACCTTTGAAACGAGATTATTTTGTGGTCATTAATATGTCTATATATGTAGATATTATGGAAATATATAGAGAAAGAAACAGATATATAAACTGACTGCAGATGTATCATCCGAGATGTGGATGTATAAACTGACAAATTAGTTTATTGTATGTGCAAATGTATCAATTGTGACACTAGCTCTCCACATACGTCAGTTGCTTAATTCAGAAACTGTACTTGTGGTCGATCTCGAACCCATTTCTGATGTGACGACTTATACTGAATTTTGTAACTAGCTCATCAAGATTGTAATTTGTTTAGCTAAATGAATTGTGGGGTTCAGTCCCTGAGCCCATTAGGTGCCTCTGTAACCCTTTCCACTACTGCCCACAGGATGGGTATGAGGTGCATAATAAATGAAACTAAACTGTATGTGCAATACAAAGTTTACCTTTAAGCTTCCATCATCATCAAGACTGAAGTCATCAAACTTGAAGTCATACAGCTTGAAGGCTTGAGCTGATGGTATTTTTAATTTCTGAGAAAAAGAAATTAAAACAAATAAGTATATGCTCTTCTATGTATATGCCAACTATAAAAGACAAAATAACTTGTATTAACCTATAACATAAAGCTATGAATTTACTGATAAATATTAGTAGAGTAGAAGAAATATCACTTAAAAATTAGAGAGGCATAAAAAATTATAATTCTTATCCTCTTAAAGAATAAGAACTAGATTACTGTACTTTAACCCCCAAACATGTAGTTTAGGGTTTAAATGCATATCTGCCAATGCACAAAAAAAAAAAGTGTACATTTTTAAAAGTAAATGTGTACAGTAAAATGTGTACTTGGTTGTAAAAACGATTCTTCGCGGCGGGGATCGTTTCCAGGGACCTGCCCGAAACGCTACGCGTACTAGTGGCTCTACAAGAATGTAACAACTCTTGTATATACTGTATCTCAAGAAAAGAAAAGAAAAGAAAAGAAAAGAAAAGAAAAAAAAAGAAAAGAAAAAAGAAAAGAAAAAAGAAAAGAAAAAAGAAAAGAAAAAAGAAAAGAAAAAAGAAAAGAAAAGAAAAGAAAAGAAAAAAGAAAAAAGAAAAAAGAAAAAAAAGAAAAGAAAAGAAAAGAAAAGAAAAGAAAAAAGAAAAGAAAAAAGAAAAGAAAAGAAAAGAAAAAAGAAAAGAAAAAAGAAAAAAAAAAAAAAAAAAAAGACGAGGTCTCCATTCTTGGATACAGTAATCCAAATAGGGGTGCACTCGAGATATATACAATTGAATCACTACCTTCTCCTTAAAGTCAAGGGTAAGCTGATTATTCCAAGAGTTTGGTTAGCTTTTTTGACTGCTGCTGCTGCTGCTGCTGTTGTGCAACTTTCAGCGAGTGGGGGATTTTGACTCCAAGGTTCTTTTCTTCATCAATCTGCTGTAATGTAATGTTATTAATGAGGTAGTTGTTGCGTGGGTTGCTATGCCCCACATGCATGGTCTTGCATTTGTTGATGTTAAAAAGCATTTGCCAGACTTTTGACCATTTGTGGAGTTCATGAAGATATTGGCGACTAGACAATCCTTCCCAGCCAGGATACGAACCTTGGGCCAAATCACTCACGAAGTGTGTTACCACAGCACCACGGGGACTGCAAACAGGAGTTATATTTGCATAATATTTGGAATATATATTATATAGAACAGCATTATATTTGCTGTTCCTTAGATTCACTGTTATGGGGATAGCTTCTCTTGCCCAACCTTGCCTTAAAGTTATACAAGGTTTTTCTGAGGTTAGCTAAGAGGTTAATAAATTGAACCTTTGCACCCAGGCTGTCTCTTCACACTGTGTGTCCTAGGCAGAAAGTCCTGGTGACCTGTTATTGGCTTCAGTCAGTATTGTTGCCCTACTTTGATGCAATAATATAGGGAGTGGCAACATTCTGCACGATGCAGCCTGATGGCTGCAGTCCATAATTTGAATTACAATAGCTATCCATTCTTTTAAGTGTTAAGTATTACCCTTATATATATATATTATAGTCTCCATGGTGTAGTGGTAAGACACTCGCCTGGCGTTCCGCGAGCGCTTTGTCATGGGTTCGTATCCTGGCTGGGGAGGATTTACTGGGCACAAATCCTTAACTGTAGCCTCTGTTTAACGCAACAGTAAAATGTGTACTTGGTTGTAACAACGATTCTTCACGGCGAGGATCGTATTCCAGGGACCTGCCCGAAACGCTACACGTACTAGTGGCTGTACAAAAATGTAACAACTCTTCTATATAGCTATATAATTAAAAAAAAAAAAAAAAAAAAAAAAAAAAAAAGGTTTACCTCCCACATCACACATGATTAGGACTAGAGCTCTGAAATCTGGACTTTTTTTTTTTTTTTAATTTTGAAGCAGAGATCTGGAAGCCAAATTTAGTCCATTGTTTAGAGGGATAAGTTATAGGGAGGTCCAGATTTCAGAGGTGCCACGGTACTACATTTTAAGCCTCAAATCACACAAAGGAATAACAACTTCTACACAAGACTGGACAGTGTTTTATACCATGCATAACCCTGCATATAACTTGTTAGATGTACCATAAAACAGGTATATGTTATACTCTGTAAGACAGTTGCAAGAGTTCTTACCATTAGTCTTAAGGCATCTTCTCTGGGGGCTGTAGCATGATAGCTAAGAACTTCCAATGTAACTTTCTGTTTAGCCATTGCTGTAATAGCTTTTTCATACCTAGAAATATAAATATAATTTAACAATTCACAATACGGTATATAAAATGTACAAAATTTACTTCAATGCTTTGTTATACAGCATTATATTTGCCATGAATATTGAAAACATTTTAAACTGAATAATTGTTTCATAATTAGTCTAGATATTATTTTCATTTGCTTTTGAAATCATATGTTAAGTGATATTCAGCACAAATTACCCATTTTTACAGCAACTGTCATAACTTTCACACAAATACATGTAATGTACTTATTATAAATTGAACCTAAAAAAAAACTTTAGCTTTTGTATTCTATCTGTACAATACTAATGTTCAGTTCTACAAATAGCGATATAATTCAGAGGTATGCTCACATGTGAGTGTTGTGGATGCCCATGCCACAGAAAATGGCAAAGGCTTCCAGGAAGTTTTCGTCATTTTTAGTAAAAGGAAGATTATCAAACTTGTTGATGAGTTGCACAACACCTACAGTTTTCCCAGCAGTGTTTTTAATTGGCATGCATAGTACAGATCGGTGACGAAATCCCGTGTTCTCGTCCACCGACTCGTCAAATTTGGAATCTTCGTACGCATCAGCAATGCATACAGTCTGGTGTGGAATAGTATACTATATTTTAGTCATGGTGAGAGGCCAAAGGGTAAATAACTGTATATTGAAGATAAAACCCTTTACAATTGAACACATTTCTGCGAATAATATAACTATTGTACTGTACTGTATAGCACACAGTAGCAAATAACTAACAAATGCCAGATTTTTGGTTGATCCTATTAGGGTTTTAAAACTATACAATCATGTCTACAATTATGTTGCTGCTGATTCCTTGAATACATTGGACTTTTCTTATGCTGTACAGCATAAGACATTTAAAATCATAAACAAGTATGAGCTATACACCTTATAATCATGTTATAGCATACAGTACATGCTTTTCCCTACAAATAAAAAATCCAAAATCAAATATAATTAAGTTCCATTAAATTAAGCTGCGAGCTATAAAATATGCTACTGCTTATGATGCTATTAATTATGTACATCAACTCTGAACTCAAAAGTACAATATGCTGCTCCTGTAAAGCAAGATTATTTAAAAAATAAAATGAACAATTGAACCTATCAGAAATATAATGTAAAATAGAAACAAACAATTAAGCATTACAATTTTGAAAATTTATTCACACCTGAGCAAGTAAAAGTCACGAGATATTGGAATATTTTGTACAAGATCCACTAATCTGCAGAAACCCAAGAGGTTTCCTGGTATTCAATGTAAGCTTTGATGCTTTTTAAGCATCAAGATTAACAGCTATCTCTGATCTACATTATTATATAAACAGCAAGTACGTGAACCACTATAGTATAACTGCTATACCACCACCACATCCCTCACTGCTATATCACCACCACCACATCCCTCACTGCTATATCACCACCACCACATCCCTCTCTGCTATATCACCACCACCACATCCCTCTCTGCTATATCACCACCACCACATCCCTCTCTGCTATACCACCACCACCACATCCCTCTCTGCTATACCACCACCACCACATCCCTCTCTGCTATACCACCACCACATCCCTCTCTGCTATACCACCACCACATCCCTCTCTGCTATACCACCACCACATCCCTCTCTGCTATACCACCACCACATTCCTCTCTGCTATACCACCACCACATTCCTCTCTGCTATACCACCACCACATTCCTCTCTGCTATACCACCACCACATCCCTCTCTGCTATACCACCACCACATCCCTCTCTGCTATACCACCACCACATCCCTCTCTGCTATACCACCACCACATCCCTCTCTGCTATACCACCACCACATCCCTCTCTGCTATACCACCACCACATCCCTCTCTGCTATACCACCACCACATCCCTCTCTGCTATACCACCACCACATCCCTCTCTGCTATACCACCACCACATCCCTCTCTGCTATACCACCACCACATCCCTCTCTGCTATACCACCACCACATCCCTCTCTGCTATACCACCACCACATCCCTCTCTGCTATACCACCACCACATCCCTCACTGCTATACCACCACCACATCCCTCACTGCTATACCACCACCACATCCCTCACTGCTATACCACCACCACATCCCTCACTGCTATACCACCACCACATCCCTCACTGCTGTACCACCACCACATCCCTCACTGCTATACCCCCACCACATCACTGCTATATCACCACTAACATGAAGAGTCAATATCTAATCTTGTACTAATAATCATTATGATAAAATAAATATTTCAAGTAAATATTAAATAGTGATATACAGATAGCCACCAAATCATTTGGTCTCTAAGGAGAAATTTATTTTTGATGACCCAAAACTCAACTTGGAAACATTTGTCGATGAGTTTTGTGATTTGAACATCTACTTTCATCCGTTACTGGAATATGCATCAAAAGATTTTACCTCTCCTGTTGTGGCTACATGGCCAGTAATTCCAATATTGATAGGGAAGCGAGACTCAAAGGGACTAGTGCGGCTCTCTGCATCATCACCTTGTAGGTCCTTCACTTCCAGGTCAAATACCCGTGAAAAAGCTCCCCGAGATGCTTCGTGTACCAGAAGAATCTGAAATTATGATATGAACAAAAATATTAAATATTATTACTTAACTGTGGCATGGAAAGTGCCACATAGACAGCTAATGTGGAAAACTTAAACTGGATGAAACTTCCCTAATAAAAACTTAATGAGAACAATAATTCTCCAAGTGTGATATCTTCATAAGGAAAGGTTTCAAGTGGAGTTTTCCATTGCCCACAGTTTTCTCCATTTATGCTTCAAATGTATATACGAACATATAAATAATTAGCTCCTATAGAGCATAAAGCTGTATGAAAATGTTTAATATGCCAAGATAATGAAACAAATGAAAATAAACAAGATTATAAATACAATAAGGATTGTGTGATGTCAACTTTTTATATCTTTGAAATGTGGACCTAGGTAAGCTAAATTGTAAATGGAAGTAACTTTCAAGTTACATCTTAAAGTTCATTCTTGCACTCATTGTAATCTTCTGCCTGACCTCATGTCTACACCTATACTGCACAAGTGGTACACGAACAACGGGACACAGGTGGAAACTTAGTACCCAAATGAGTCACAGGGATTTTAGAAAGAACTTTTTCAATATTATAGTTAAATAGATTGCATCAGGTAGTGATGTGGTAGAAACAGACCCCATACACAGTTACAAATGTAGATATGATAGAACCCAATAGGCTCAGGAATCTGTACACTAATTGATTGACAGTTGAGAGGCAGGACCAAAGAGCTGAAGTTTAACCTGTAAGCTGTAAGCAACTAGGCGAGTACTTGAAGAAATAATTAACAAAAATTATATCCTTTTGTGTGAAGGGAATCACCCATCTAGCAACACCATTCACTTATCTTATAAGTGGTAACTCAAACTGGACCAAAAATAACAACTTTACTGAGGAAATACAGTACAATTTAGAAATGAATGCTGTATGAATGGAGTGATGAATGCTGTAGTAGGTGTATACAACAGAATATAACAATTAGCAGAGAAAACATGAATGTCCTCAGCTTGCTACTTAGAAATCAAGAAATTAGTGTCACAAAGATAGTTTGTTGATAAGAATTTTAAATCCTGTTGAAATCAGCTCTGTTAAACAAGATATTGCATTCAGGGTAATTCTGACCCAGACTAGCCTCTAAATTTGCTTACAATATATAAAATGGTGAGCGTGTAAAAATAAATAAAATATATGTAGACATTATATATGTATATATTATATATGTATATATTATATATGTATATATTATATATGTATATATTATATATGTATATATTATATATGTATATATTATATATATAGGTTCAAATGCAGGGACCCATAGCCTTGGAGAAGAAAATAAGGGGTATTCAGAGAAGACCTTGTGGATTCTCACTGAACACTAATATTTTCTTCTACCACCCCCATTCTTTTGTATATACACATATTTGTTTTATTTAAACTTTGTTACAAAAAAAAGGAGCCTTATATATACTGTATTAGCCTGATTAGTACACAGGCCTCACTTTATATACTTGTAAGTTCTAAATGCCCTTGTTGGGACTAGAACCTCTGCCTGCGTGATGCAAAGCAGAGTGCTGTACCACTGTACCACTACAAAAGCATACGAGTGTCTTTATGAACTCCTTCAGCCCCACTGCTTTTGTAGTGTGGTGGTACAGTCGTACAGCACTCGGCTTTGCATCACGCAGGCAGAGGTTCTAGTTCCAACAAGGGCATTTGGAACTTACAAGTATAAAAAGTGAAGCTTGTGTTAGTACTAAGACTTTGCAGTGTCAAATATATAACATGCAAGAGCTTAAATGCAATTGTAAATACGGTAATGTTAATATAAATGTTGACTTTTAAGCTATTGATAGTAATAATAGACAATGAAAATTCTGTAACATTTGTAACATGCATGTAAGGTAATTTTATGTGGCAGGGCCTTAACTGTATGAATAAGTTTAACATGTCAGAGGTTGGTGGTTTGTCAACTACTCCCACCAACTATAAAAAGCTCACCTGAACCCGTTCACACTGCAGGAGGCTCTGCGTGTGTGTCATGATGCGATACACCATCTGCTCTATTGTGCTCTGCTCCTCAAATATTATTCTCGCCAGATCTAGTAGCACCTGTGTAATACAAATAAATTTATTTAATAAAATTTCCTTTATGTATGTGAGTAGTGATGTGTATGCATAAAAAAATATAAGACCTTGCATGTGGAACATAAAAATGCACATCAAAACTACCAAATACACAACACTACCTTGCAGCAGAGTGAAGAAGAAAAGGACCTTAGAGTTAGGATCCACCAACCATTAAAGTTTCAGAACAAGTGGGAGCTGCAGTAAACAAACAAAATCCTAGGAACAGTCAAACGAACTTTTGACCTAACTGATTAAATCTCTGGTGATTTAATTTGAACTGTTGCATCCATGCAATAATCCAAATAGGTTGGCGTTCAATCCCCGACCGTCCAAGTGGTTGGACACCATTCCTTCTCCCCCCCCCCCTCCCCCATCCCATCCCAAATCCTTATTCTGACCCTTCCAAGTGCTATAGTCATAATGGCATGGTGCTTTCTCCTGATAATTCGTTCCTTCAATTCCAGATGAAAATCATCCCAGAACTAAGTTGAATCGTATACCAGGAACAGTTGAGAGCCACAGAGTTAAAACACTGCAAACCAGACATGACATAGCTGACCTCATCAAAACTTTTAAAATGCTGAACAATTTGGAGGATATTAATCCAGACTACTACTTCAAAAGGTCAGCTGTAACACAAATAAGGAGCAACATCTTTAAGCTCAACAAACCACAATGGAGGACAGAAAACAGGATATGTATTTTCACCCATAGGGTTATAAACCATGGAACTGCCTATCTGCCAAAGCTGTAAATGCCAAAACATTGCTGCAATTCAAAATCCAGCTGGAAAAAATCAGAAAAAATAAAAGGACCACTGACAAGCTACTGGCTTCCTGTCTTCATCAAGGCCACTTGTGAGATGATGGCTCTCAGTCAAATTCAGGTATATACTGTTCAGGTATTGTGTGTTTTGATGAAGGTAGCCATATTTTCTGAAAAACAAAAATATTGTAAATGTAATACTTTTTCCAAGAAACTCTAGTGCCACAAGGACAGGCTGTATTATATGGTTTAGAAATGAAGTGATGCAAAGAGCAGCTACATGTGCTGGAATGAAGAGATAAAAGTTGCAGCAAACTGCATGATGGACATGTGGATGAGGATCTTATAAAGCAGTGTGTCAGAAAAGACACTTTCCTCTCATTGCAGTATCTTGTGGAAGTAGGAATACACTGTTCAGCAAAAAAGTCACACAGCAGAAGGCTGTTAAGAAATTGTCTTGAAATTGAGTTTACAGAGACAAACACCGTTCGAATTCTTTGCCATCTTTAACCCCAACCCCGTGACTAAAATAAAAATACAACAAATACATCCACAATCAACTTGGCACCAAGGCATGACTTGGAGATACACAGAACAGAGCTTGTCCAGACATGGATGATGTGGTACCAAAGTGTACCCCTTATTATGTGCACAGAAAAAATGGCCACATATTGAAACAAAGTTCCAAGGTGTCCTGAACATAGTGGGAAATTCAAAGGAAAATATGTAATGCTGAAGCACACACCAAAGGCATCTCTAATAATCTGGTCGGTTAAAGCATCTACAGACGCAAACATTTTATTTAGGTACCAGTACATACATACCGTACATACAAGAAAACGTGCAGATTGTTGGATTCATAGGTAGGCAAGTACTATGCCTAAACCCACTAATGCAATGTAACAAATTTTTTTGAGATGAACACAAGTCAATTGCATTTTGTCTTCCATCTGCTTCAATTTAATATACCAGTCTGAAAGTTTGAGTCACGTTTCCAATTCAAGGAACTCTGTTCCATGAACAGAGTTAGCATAGGGTAGCAGCATGGTGTGGCAAAAAGGTCAAATAAACTCTTAATTTTTCTTAGCGCCGGAATTTACTTATACACCATCTATCTAGCGACCTTACAATACAATACAATACAACAATACAATTTTATTTAGGTAAGGTACATACATACAATAAATATTTACAAGGATTGTTTAACTTATAGGTATAGCTAGTACATACAATGCCTAAAGCCACTATTACGCAAAGCGTTTCGGGCATGATAAACTTAAATGACAAGCTTAATACTAATTGAGCATAATGAGTAGAATGAAAACAAGAAATGAAAACATAGATGAAAAAGCAGCACAAATACAATTATGTCGACAAACAGCGCTCTTTAAAGAAAAAAACAGACATTGGTTGACAATAGAAGGGTAAGGTAGGTTACAGGGAATTTATTAGGTATAGCTTCGCTTTTAACTTAAACTGGTTGAGAGAGGTACAGTCTTTAACATGGTTGGGAAGGTCATTCCACATTCTGGGCCCCTTGATTTGTAGAGCATTTCTAGTTTGATTAAGTCGTACTCTAGGAATATCAAAACTGTATTTATTTCTGGTGTGATGCTCATGGGTTCTGATACAACCTTCTATGAAGCTTTTGAGATCAGGATTGGCATTATAGTTTAGCGTTTTATATATGTATAATACACATGAGAGAATGTGCAGTGACTTAATGTCTAACATATTCAGAGATTTAAGTAGGGGTACCGAGTGATGTCTGGGGCCAGAATTGGATATTGTCCTAATAGCAGCTTTGTGTTGAGTAATTAGAGGACGTAAGTGATTTTGGGTAGTAGAGCCCCAAGCACAAATACCATAGTTGAGATATGGATAGATAAGGGAGTAATAGAGAGTCACCAGGGCAGGGCGTGGTACATAATATCTGATCTTAGAAAGAATGCCCACAGTTTTTGAAACTTTTTTTGATATGTTTAGAATGTGTCCCTGGAAATTAAGCTTGTGGTCAATGAGAATGCCAAGGAATTTGCCATCTAATTTGTTACAAATTTGGGTATTGTTTATTTTATACCCAAAAAATAAAACCAAGATTCTAAACTAAATCTAAACTAATAAAACTAAAATTCCTGTCTCCTTGATGGAGACAGGAAGCCAGTGGCTTGTCAAAGAATCCTCCCCCCATTGTACCTGGGATTTTTCCTAACTGATTTTTTAACTCTAGTAATGTCTTGGCATTTACAATTTCAGTGGGTAGACAGTTCCATAGGTTTATAACACTATGGGTGAAAAATCACTCATGTTTTCTATCCTACATTGTGATTTGTTGAGCTTTATGTTCAACAACCTTTGATCCTGGTAGTACAGTCGGGTTAGTTCTCTAAATCACAAATGAGAATTCTGGGCTTAAATCCTGGGAAGGACAAATGGTTGCGAGCATTTTCTATCATCTAATGATCCTATTCACCTAGCAGTAAGTAGGTATCCCAGGAGTTAGTTGGCTTGTAAGGGGGTTGCATCTTTGGGATGGGGATGGGGAGGGGGGTGGGGGGTGGAAGGTCAGTAATTCGACCCATGGGGGGGGGCTTGATATAAGCCTGACATGTATATATAAACTGCCTGCCTGCCCCGACACAATGAATTATCAAGTTTTGTATTACTGCCTGAAACGCTTTGCGTAATAGTGGCTTTAGGCATTGTATGTACCAGCTCTATCTATAAATTCATCAATATCTGTATCACCCCTTGTATGTATGTACTTTACCTAAATAAACATTTGAAATTGAATTTTTGAATTTGAATTTGAATTTAAAAAAAATGTGAAAACCCGTGTGATAGATCAGGTATATGGTACAGTAGCTTTATTTTTAATAAAAATTGCTCGAGGGCAGATATAAAATTGACTCAATTATTTATACAGTACAACAAATTAAAAAAAAGTTAAATACAATACATAAAATAATGTAGGCTACTATACTTATGCTTGGTCTATTGTTGAATTATTAAATTATTAAATCTTAAATATAAAATTTTATCACTGTTTATGTATACTGTAGATGGTATACAACTACAGTAAAACTAAATTATATTGTATAATGTATTTACAGTACAGTACATGTAAACCTGAAATACATACTTGATTCCTTTTTACTTCTAGCTGAGAACGCTCATAGAGCTGAGCATTTCTGAGGCCAATTCCACAGAACTGTAAGTAGGACTCGAAAACCTTTTCATCAGCTGTTGTGAAGATCTGACCCTGGTGTTTATTGATCACCTGTAACATCATAAAAGATATACTGTACTGTACATTACCAAGGTAGGCAATAAACATGTCACTGCAATATAGTAAATAATTAGGTACAGGTAGTGTGAAATGGCATTTTAAATATTGTTCAAATTATGGGACGAGCTCATTTTATGGTATTAAAATAATGAATACCGGAACAATGACATTCCCACACTGGATAGCAATGTCACTGGTTGCGATATGTTTCTAACGACATATGAGCCAAGTTGTCGTACTGTATCTCCACGTTTTAATGCACTAGGTTTTAAGATTTGTTTTAATTCAATCACTTCTTCCCTTATCAAAGCAACTGTATAGTGTAGTTATTATTACTGTAAACTAATTTAGTATTAGGATGCTTATTTTTTGTAAAGTTATGAGTAGCACCTGGTGCTATAGTAAATAAACTGCCCTAAATAGATTAATTACCTTGTTCTCAAAATAAAAATAGGAAAAATTATACATGCATGCACAAATTCTTTGGAGAATTTTGGCTAGAAAGATGATGAAATAGTTGCACGCCCTATACAGGCTGCCTAAAGTGTAATTTGTAAAGGTAGTAGTATAGTACCTGGGCAACCCCGATGACCTCGCCAGCACTGTCCTTGATAGGCATACACAGCATGGAGCGTGTCTTGTACCCAGTCTTGCCATCAATGTTCGGGTTGAAGCGAGGATCCTGCATCATAAACTCATTAATAAAGCCCCCCCCCCTCACACATTTTTATTAGATTACATGTACAGAATATTTAACATTGCATTATTTTCCTCCAAGCTGGTTAATAATTTCTCATATTAATTATAAAATCTTTAAATTGTATGCCACAGAATATGGCCAAACTTTCATACCATTTATTTTTTTTACTTTGATTCCTTTATCTTCATATTTAATTTCCCCCCCAAAAAATTGAAATTGTTTAAGACACAAAATCAATATTAATCAGGTAAATGAAAATAAGACTAAACCCGAGAATTATAAAACATATAATTAAAAATTTAAATTGATTTCTAATATCACAGCCAATGAAATTTTATTAGAGAAATATTAATAAAGTAGTTTAATTTAAAATAATATTAAGTTTTATTCTGGCCATCTTCCCTCCAATTCCAAGAATTTTCTTCTCTACTATCTTATTACCCATCACATGTGCCTGTGTTCCTAGTCTCTCAACCACTCCTGTACTAACCGCTTCTCCACCACCCCAGCAATCAACAATATACACTTACTAATTTACCCACAATTTTCCATTAGTACCCGTTCTATTCTCTCCATTGCTCTGCTTTCCTCCCTTCATTTTGTGTTTAACGAGATAATGACTCCACGCTGGTGGAATATGGTATCATATTTTTGAGAACACATATTTTAAACATACTTCTTGTCCACTGTCAATTCCCCTCAATATCTTGTATGGTGTCACTACATCTTTCTTGTTTATTTCCTTCAACATAATGAGGTTGAGTTTACTTCTCACTGTAACCTAGCTGTTTGGTTCTGGGACAAATCTTGTCAAGTCTGTATTGTTTCCAATTTTAGTACAGTATGTGCTTATTTAGGTGGGACTAAGCCAGTTCTGTATACTGAGGGGCGTTTCTTATGTAGGTTATGCAGTGTTCTGCAGGTATTTCTTAATGCATGGCATTTGAGCCAACTCAAACTGGCCTGTGTGAAAGTTGGGAAAGGCTAGTTCCTAGTACAGTATCTGGCCTCCTACTTCTGACAGGTAGGCACTCTTTTTTTCATAGATATAGATATACAGTATATAATTACAGATCAGTTTCTCATCATTTCTGGGAACTGTTTCCTTTTTAGCACGAAATGCCCCATAATTTCTCTCCCTGCTCTTGTCCTCATTTTTACTTGTGTAAAGGAGGAAATGTATATGTTTATCTCTCAGAATGTTCGGTAATACGTTTATTGCTTGTGATGTGTGTCTATATGTATTAACACGATGTACTGAACGGGAGTGAGAATAGCTTGAGCTACCTCATCCCTTTGTGTATTTTACCTCAATAAACTTATTTCAATTTCAATTGTCCTCATTTCTTTCCATTTATACATAATTTCTTGTTGAAAGGGACAGACAGAGCCTGTATTTAGGCTTACAGAGATCCCAAGGGCCAACTATTGACCAACTCCAGAAGGCAACCCACAACAATTGCCTACCTCCTGGGTTTCTATTTTACTACTAGATGAACAAAGGCTTAGGTGAAAGTAAATCTGCCTAACCGTTTCTGTCTCTTTTCCAGGGATTGAACCTGGAGCCCTCAGTTGTGGAGCCAAGGACGTAGACTACTGTGCTACCGGACCTATTATGCCTAAGGCATAGCAGCCATCTTTGTGAGTAATGGGGTTGTATAACCAAGTTTTCATGTAGTGTGTGTCATTTTGGCTCCTTTATCAGCCTTGTGTGTGTGGAGCAGTTCCCATGCTAAGTCTCGTCTTCTGTTCATTCACCATTTTCCGTATTATATGGCTGTTCAGAAGTTGGGGTTGTGTTCTCCCTTGATGGCTACAATATTATAATACGTGCATGCGTGCGTGTCAATGGGCGTGCGTGTCAGTGTGGCACATGCGGGCCCAATAGATGACTGGGTGATAGGGAGGGGGGGGGGGGTGATAACTAGAATGGAAGGAAAAGAAGGTCAGAGAAAATGAGGGGCGAGTGAAATTTGGGTGATGGTGACGGTGGTAGGGAATGAGAAGATGGGGTAAAGTGAGGAGTTGGGAGAATGGAGGACAAGGAATGATGCATGCATCCATCTCTCTCTTTCTCTCTTAATAAGAACAAGAGAAACAGGTGTTCAGCAGCAGGTGAAGACTGCGACAGGTGTAGACGTCATCAGACGATGTTGTCGCCGTAATTACTATTCTCACCTGGCTGTACTTGCAGAGGACGAGCTGTAGCTCTCGGGGTCACCATTGATGGTGTGAAAGGCGTGTCCAACGTTATGATAGATTTTTTTTACAAGGGTCAATTTCGGAATGAACAGCCCTTAATAGGCTTCTCAGGGATCGTGGCCCCGCTCCTATAAAGACAGAAATCGACCATACAGCACCTTACGGGCTGTTCATGCCCGTGCCACCTCTTGGATGACTTACTCTTCATCAATCGATCAATCAATACAGCACCACCCTACGGGCTACTCATGCCCGTGTCACCTTTAAGGTGGCATAACCATCAACATACAACATCGTGACCTCGTCTAGAACACAAACATCGCAGTTAACATTGTCCTTATTGCATATCATAACATATATTGTTAGCGACCAGTGGCTAAGTATGTATTTTATACTCCAAGCAAATATATAGAACGACACTTCCTTGTAATTGCTTGCAACTAAAGAGTGAGCCCACCAGCCGCGCATGTTAGATCAGGGAAAATATCTGTAATCCAGTAAGTTGACTTCTGGTTTATTCGTGGGCGTGGTCGATTGTCTGCTGTTTGTATTATTATTAATTATTATTATTGTTATTGCTGCTGCAGGCGAGGAGTCACAATAACATGGCAGAAATGTTGACCAGACCACACACTAGAAAGTGAAGGGACGACGACGTTGTTTCGGTCCATCCTGGACCATTCTCAAGTCGATTGTGATCGACTCTCAAGTCGATTTGGTCAACATTACTGCTGCTGTTGCCGTAAGCGGCGGCTAGTTTACTGTGCACCCAATACTCATACTGCGAGCGGCAGCAAAAAAAGGATTACAGAGGGCATAAATATTTGCCACCTTTTACAATTGGTTGAGCTCACCTCCCCCCAGTCCTGAGCCGGAACCCCAGGCCCGACAGGTGCGATCCTACGTCAATTACTTTCCCGTAATTAGGGAACTACAAATACTGTTTTGTGTGTAGTGAGGGTCCACTCTGCCTCTGCCTCAGCCTCACCACCTGGCCATGGCGACGCGCCAACCCCGGCCACCAAACAAAGACCCAAAAGTGATTCCATGCACCAGCCAACCCCCCTGTTTATGAATGAAAAACTGTTTACACACGACTCGATTGTTGACGTTCGAACACTTCCGGAACAAGTGCTTCACTGACGAATTTTGTTCGAACCACGACGCTGTAAATGCTTCACCCACGTACTACAAATACAAATAATCCCCAACAGAACCTAAACACCTAACCTATGCCTATATATGCACAATATGCTAATATATTATAATAATTTATATTTGAGAAAATTCCCGTTTTGAATGAACAGCATGTTAAAATTTATGAATGCGCCTGTGGGGTCGACCGCTGGATGTAATGGACTCGAGTCTAGGACGGGTTGCGACGTGGGAAGCATCAGCTGGAGGGAGCTATATCTAAAAAAAATTCTTACACATTAATTTTTACATTGTGATTAACTTGTCTTCTACCATGAACCGTTTGCCTCCTTTTCATAGTTTCTTGCTTCCAGCCAGGGCACCTCTTCCCTGCGTGTGCTGGTGACCTTTCCGGGTGTGGTGGCTCGTATTTTCGTCTCTGTTTTCACTATTTATTTTCCATGGAGAGTGGTCAAAGGTCAGAGGTGAAGGGAAAACACGGCGTGAGTGCACCAAGTGGCCCTCAACCTCACATCTTCCACCTTGACCAAGCAGCCTCTGGCGATCCTACACAAATTTTCTTTCAACAAACACTAAGGTTCATCAGGGATGTCACACACACTTAATACAACTGTAAGCCAAGTCTTACACCAGCTAGAGTGAAGCCTCACGCTAAACACTATTCTAATGAGACTTATTAGCTTCTCATTAGCTGTAGCCTATAGCCTAATATTCGTCCACCTCAGACCTCTTCCATTCTCTATAATTTTTCTGTAATTTTAGCTTTAAAGGTCCTTATCGTCCCCTCCCGTCTCCTGCCCTCCCCTCTGCATCCCCTCCCTTGTAAAAAGAGAAAACTCGAGCCTCGAAAAGAAATGACGATCATAAACCAGATAGCGACGAAGGTTGAAGATCTTTTTTTGGCTAAGAAAAGGAAGAAAAATATATAAAGCGAACGAACGAGTAGTTTTACTTTAAGAGGATAAAACAAAGAAAAATATCCATTAATGGAAGTATATATTTCTAAGAGAAAATGTGTGGTTTGAGTATGAGGCTGGAGGCTAACTTTGCTCAGTAAATGGTACACGATTTGCGCGAGCGAGCGAACACACACACACACACACACACACACACACACACACACACACACACACCACACCTTTCCCTTCATCCCTGTAATTTTAGTGAGAATGGAGTCTTTTCCTTAGCGAGATTGGAAACTAAGTATGATTCGCTACATCATAACTATTCCCGGGACACACACCAGTCACACTGCAAAGTTTAGCGAGGCTACGCCCCAACCTTCCACCCCCCCCAACCTCTTAGACACAGACACAGACACAGACACACACACACACAGACACACACACACACACACACACACACACACACACACACACACACACACACACACACACACACACACACACACACACACACACACACATTAGCTTCTCATTAGCTGTAGCCTATAGCCTAATATTCGTCCACCTCAGACCTCTTCCATTCTCTATAATTTTTCTGTAATTTTAGCTTTAAAGGTCCTTATCGTCCCCTCCCGTCTCCTGCCCTCCCCTCTGCATCCCCTCCCTTGTAAAAAGAGAAAACTCGAGCCTCGAAAAGAAATGACGATCATAAGGGGGGTTAGGGGGGACATGATCACCACATTCAAGATTCTGAAGGGGATTGATAGGGTAGATAAAGACAGTCTATTTAACACAAGGGGAACACGCACAAGGGGACACAGGTGGAAACTGAGTGCCCAAATGAGCCACAGAGATATTAGAAAGAACTTTTTTAGTGTCAGAGTGGTTGACAAATGGAATGCATTAGGGGGTGATGTGGTGGAGGCTGACTCCATACACAGTTTCAAGTGTAGATATGACAGAGCCCGATAGGCTCAGGAATCTGTACACCTGTTGATTGACGGTTGAGAGGCGGGACCAAAGAGCCAGAGCTCAACCCCCGCAAACACAACTAGGTGAGTACAACTAGGTGAGTACACACACACACACACACAATCTGCGGGGCCTCGTAGCCTGGTGGATAGCGCGCAGGATTCGTAATTCTGTGGCGCGGGTTCGATTCCCGCACGAGGCAGAAACAAATGGGCAAAGTTTCTTTCACCCTGAATGCCCCTGTTACCTAGCAGTAAATAGGTACCTGGGAGTTAGTCAGCTGTCACGGGCTGCTTCCTGGTGTGTGTGTGTGTGTGTGTGTGTGTGTGTGTGTGTGTGTGTGTGTGTGTGTGTGTGTGTGTGTGTGTGTGTGTGTGTGTGGTGGGGGAAAGAAAAAAAAAAAAAAAAAAAGTAGTAGTTAGTAAACAGTTGAGAGGCGGGCCGAAAGAGCAAAGCTCAACCCCCGTAAAAACACAACTAGTAAACACATCTGTGATCCTGTGTCGACACAGCGGCTCGAGTCCCTCCCCCCCTCCCTCCGTCCCCCAGGTGTCCCCCGCATATGGAGGCGAGGGGTCAGCGCCCCCTCATGCACCCAACAGTAACGGGTATTAATAATAATTCATTGTGTCGGGGGACAGGAAGCCACGTTATATACACAGTACACGTTAGGCTGATATGCAACTAGCCATGTTACGAGGTAACATAACTATCAATGGTGTTCAAGAAGTGTGTAAGTAATTCATCACCCTTCCTCTCTCTCTCTCCCCCCTCACCCTGCCCTCTACATGTAAACATGGCGCGGAGAAACAAAAATAGTCGTGTTTGTGAGAGGCGCCAGGTGCGCCCTCCCCGACTCACTTGTCCTCTCCCAGTGGTCACGCGACAGCTGCCAAGAACTTAGCAAGTAACAATGACAGCCACTCAATTTCAACTTTAATTTTGCCCCGAGGGGAGTGTTTATGGGTTTAAAAAAAATCAGTTGATTGATTGACAGTTCAGAGGCGAGCCCAAAGAGCCAGAGCTCAACCCCCGCAAGCATAACTAGGTGAGTACACACACACACACACACACACACACACACACACACACACACACACACACACACACACACACACACACCAAAGGTGGAACACGAACAAGGGGGGACAGGTGGAAACTGAGTACCCAAATGAGCCACAGAGACCTTCCTCGTGCATATTGACTCGCACCAGCAGCAGTACTCACCTCGTAGACGACGCATACAGCAGCACTCACCTCGTAGACGACGCATACAACAGCACTCACCTCGTAGACGACGCATACAGCAGCACTCACCTCGTAGACGACGCATACAGCAGCACTCACCTCGTAGACGACGCATACAGCAGCACTCACCTCGTAGACGACGCATACAACAGCACTCACCTCGTAGACGACGCATACAGCAGCACTCACTTCGTAGAGACGACGCATACAGCAGCACTCACCTCGTAGACGACGCATACAACAGTACTCACCTCGTAGACGACGCATACAGCAGCACTCACCTCGTTGAGACGGCGCATACAGCAGCACTCACCTCGTAGACGACGCATACAGCAGTACTCACCTCGTAGACGACGCATACAGCAGTACTCACCTCGTAGACGACGCATACAGCAGTACTCACCTCGTAGACGACGCATACAGCAGTACTCACCTCGTAGACGACGCATACAGCAGCACTCACCTCGTAGACGACGCATACAGCAGCACTCACCTCGTAGACGACGCATACAGCAGTACTCACCTCGTAGTCGACGCATACAGCAGCACTCACCTCGTAGACGACGCATACAGCAGCACTCACCTCGTAGACGACGCATACAGCAGCACTCACCTCGTAGACGACGCATACAGCAGCACTCACCTCGTAGACGACGCATACAGCAGCACTCACCTCGTAGACGAGGCATACAGCAGCACTCACCTCGTAGACGACGCATACAGCAGCACTCACCTCGTAGACGACGCATACAGCAGCACTCACCTCGTAGACGACGCATACAGCAGCACTCACCTCGTAGACGACGCATACAGCAGCACTCACCTCGTAGACGACGCATACAGCAGCACTCACCTCGTAGACGACGCATACAGCAGCACTCACCTCGTAGACGACGCATACAGCAGCACTCACCTCGTAGACGACGCATACAGCAGCACTCACCTCGTAGACGACGCATACAGCAGCACTCGCCTCGTAGACGACGCATACAGCAGCACTCACCTCGTAGGCATCAGGAATGTTGACCATGGCTCCGGACTGGGCGGTGTAGCCCACGACGCCGCTGCCCCAAGGGATCCTGATCTCCTCCTTCTCCTGCATCTCCTCCACAGTTGAGTCCGGGTTCACGTCGAACAGCGTGGAGACCAAGCACCGGTTCTCAGACTCCTGGGAGGTCAAGGAAGACAACATGCTGTCAATGATGAACACAGAACCTGGAGAATATATTTTGTCCCACCATTGCACACTCTTGTTTGTTCACCTTGACTCATGAGCATTGTTCAGTCTCATGTGTTGTGAGGTTCATTCTCGGCTCCCTCACACCACCACACCTCAGAGTGGGTTGCTTGAGTGAGTGAGTGAGTGAGTGAGTGAGTGAGTGAGTGAGTGAGTGAGTGAGTGAGTGAGTGAGTGAAGCAGCCAACGTAATGAGAGTTCTAACAGCCAATCTGTTATACTAAGCTTCATCTAGCATATTTTCTGTGTGATTAAATGTTAGTTTCTCTTATGAAGTTTACTGACGACAGTATTTAGTGAAGAATATTACAGGGATGAAGGGAAAATGGTGAATAGTAGAGGTGGTGGTGAAGGGAAGTTGATGAATGATAGAGAGGGTGGTTAATGGTAAGGTAGTGAAAGGTAGGGAAGATGGTAAAAGGTAAGGCAGGTGAAGGATAGGGAAGGTATTGCTGACTGTTGTGGATGGGGGTACCTAGCGATGTCTGGTAATGAAAATGGTTATATAAGGATCTAGAAGGCAAGTAGTGAAGATTACAGTGATCAATATGGTGGTGTTGGGGCGGCCCACCTTGTCACCCTGGGGGAGGCCCACCTTGTCACCCTGGACGAGAAACAACGAGCATCTGTCGGCGCTGGTGAGGATGGAGACGTTCTGCAGGATCTTGTGGCAGAGGGAGCGCACGTCCAGGTCATTGCAGATGTCCTTCACCAGTTCGAAGATCAGCTGGCGTTCGTCCAGCCCCTTCAACTCTGTGCGAGATTTGCGGCGCACCTGAAATACAGTACAGGGTTAGTTGTGCGACTCTTACCTGTCACAGTCTCTCCCCCTAGACACCACCCCCATTGGTGATGACCTCTTCCCTGCCACAGTGTCTCCCTCTAGACACCACCCCCACTGGTGATGACCTTCCACCATTCCTATATGACTGCTACTATGTACAAGTCTTATCTATAGTACAAGGTTGCACAAGGCATTAAATTAACGAAAAAAATACAACAAAAGCCAATGACAAATTTATTTATTTTGCCAGCGCGGGCGAGTGGGGAGACTTCATCACGGCTAAAGTAGCCATCCAAGGTAGACGACACGTGTCGTCTACTCTGGTGGTGTCAACTAGGGACCATAACGGTGTGACTGTTAGCCCCCTGTTAGTGGTTGACACTTGGTACGTGAACTGATCAATGTAGAGTTGTTTGTGTCAAGACGACACTCACATGACGTGACCTCGTCAGGTAAGGCAGGTGTTAGGAGCTGCATTAAGTAAAACCGTTCCATCCGAGCCAACATGTGCGTCACATCTGAACACCTGTAATACGACCACCAGTCTACAGAGTGCCGGCCACCAGGGATAACATCCCATGCACGGCGGACAGCTATACAAGGGATTACGCAGGATTCACCTTGAATATAATTTCACGGATAATTAAATAAAGCGAGAGAAGACAAATATTATAGATGAGGCGCATGCGGTAGCCAGCGTCACAAGAGGCAGGTATCCATGTACCAGGGTCAGGTATCCATGTACCAGGGGCAGGTATCCATGTACCAGGGGCAGGTATCCATGTACCAAGGGTAGGCTGCTGGCGGGGAGGACCCGGGGGGCGGGGACACCAATATGGCGGGAAGAACCCGTTTCATACCTGGATAATTCACCAGAATTATAGAGCAAAATTGTCACGTCACGGACGCAGAGTATTTATAAAGACATAATATTGGTATAAAACATTTTAGTTGATTATGGTGACCATTATTAATGTTATTTTTATGATCCATGAAGGAGCACCTGTATAGCCTCACCTTACTACAGTTCCCCTCTCTCCGTCCCTCTCCCCCATGCTGGTCCGCGTTCAATCCCCGATCGTTCAAGTGTTATGCACCACTCCTTTCCTCCTACACCCCTGTCCCCTCCATCCCGTCCCAAAATCTTTATCCTGATCCCTTCTCAGGGATATATAGTCGTAATGGCTTGGCGCTTTCTCCTAACAGTGTGTCCTCTCACCTTGGCGAGGATGGCGACGTTCTCAGAGGCGGCGGGCGGGGAGAGGAAGGTGGGCGTGCCGTCTATGGTAGTGACGATGGGCTTGACCAGGCCGCCCTTCTCGAACTCGTGGGCGGAGATCTTCCTGACGGGCGTGGCAGCTCCTACAGGAGAGGCAAGAGTGGAGTAAGCATGACGCAGTCTCGGGTCATAGGAGTACACTGGGATGGACAACGGAGATGGGAATTTTAGCAATTGGTAATGGGGGGAAATATTACACTATCACTACAGAAATGGTCACTGTAGAACTGCGCTATATAAAGGACACGTTTATAGTAGAAGTTGCGAGAGGTCACCCGCTCAACCTTCCTACAACCTCAACAACGACCTTCCCACAACATTCTCACGACCTTCCCACAACATTCTCACGACCTTCCCACAACATTCTCACGACCTTCCCACAACATTCTCACGACCTTTCCACAACCTTCTCAGAACCTTCCCACAACATTCTCACTACCTTCCCACAACCTCCCCAACAACATTCTCACAACCTTCCCACAACCTCAACAATGACCGCCTCGCCGCTCTAACAACCCACTCTCCTTCGCATCCAAAATTTTATTTTCGACTACTGTACAAGTGTCGGGTCTCTGAATGTGATTTATTACGTATGCCGTTGACAATGCAGCGTGGCAGCCGTCAGTGAACCCGACCCCCGAACAGAGCGCTAGGCACGTCCATAACGATGGTAATTTTCTTTCAATATTTCAGACTGTTCTGGCTTGGATGGTTCAGCCTCCTGCAGTTATTTCTGGAACTGTATGTCAGCGGAAGGGCGGAAGGCGCCGAACCCACACCACAGGTAGAGACGTCTGGGAACCCACACCCATGGGCCGAGACGTCTGGGAACCCACACCCATGGGCCGAGACGTCTGGGAACCCACACCCATGGGCCGAGACGTCTGGGAACCCACACCCATGGGTCGAGACGTCTGGAACGCTAAACATGGGTAGCAATACGCTACAGGAAGTGTGTGTCACCAGGCGTACACTCACTACACTGAATGGAGTTGGTGCTTGAGTGCGTGGAGTTGAGTGCGCACATCACTCACGCACTCAAGGTCCCAGCACGTGATGCCATCTTCAGTAATTACTGTACCGAGATTTACTGATATTCTGTTTTTTAATACCCCGGAGACTGTAGTCGCCTCTACGTAGTCTCTCTGAAGTACAAAGTGCGATGTAACTCAACAAAATACACAATTTGTACTTTTTGCATTATAAAATGTCCGAGGAAGAGGATAATAACCTCTTAGGTCTATTATAGTACGCCTTAGATTCCGTAAATCAGTCTCAGGATTCTTTTTTTTTTAGGTCTATGATTGTGTATATTAGACCTTGGAGACGCTAGGTCGGCCTTTGGTTAGATTGATGCATTCAGCACCTTGAGAATAGCACAAGATTGACCTTTCATTTTTGATGTCACAGTTCACAGTGTGTGTGTGTATATGTCGCTGTGTGTGCTGGAGGGCTATGTTGGAGGATCCTGCACCTAGATTGTACCTGAATGGGGTTCTGGGAGTTGTTCTCCTCCAAGCCTACCCTGGGGCTTAGGCTAAACTTATGAGGATTTGGTCCAACAGGCTGTTGCCCGCAGGCCCACTACAGCCCGGTTGGTCCGGCATGTTAAGAAACAAACTGAACAGTTTTCTGCAAGAAGACTTCCACGTTTATTCCGGTAATATTTCTCATACTTGCTGGGAGGATGTTGAACAGCTGTGGACCCTTGATGTTCATAAAGTGTTCTCTGATTGTGCCTATGGCACCTCTACTCTTCACTGGCTCTATTCTGCATCTCCTTCCATATCGTAAACTTTCAATGTGTTATTTTACTGTGCAAATTTGGGACCTGGCCCCTCTAGTATTTTCCATGTATATAAAATTTAGTACCTTTCTTATCTCCTTTCTAGAGAGCAAATTTTGAGTTTTGAGATGATCTCGATAGTTCAGGCATTTTATCGTGTCTATGCGTGCCGTATATGTTCTCTGTATTCCCTCTATTTCAGCAATCTCTCCTGCTCTGAAGGGGGAAGCGAGTATCAAGCAATACTCAAGGCGGGACAGCACAAGTCACTTGAATAGTGTGGGCATTGTGAAGGGATCCCTGGGCCTGAAGGTTCTCATAATCCATCCTATAATTTTTGTAACTGACGCTATAGTGCTTTTTTTATGCTCCCTAAACGTTAGGTCGTCAGACAACATTACCCTCAGATCCTTTACTTACAAAATTGGAGTGGGAGAGAGTATAGAGTCTTGTGCCCTATATCTTGTGTAAGGGTCGCGAGTCTCTCTCATCTCATCACCCTCATGCTGCCGCCTCACAACTCATGTTATACCATGATTCTCACTGTCATGAGACTCATCGTTCACACCACGCGCACAAACACTCCACACACCTCGACGGCCGCTCAAGCAGCGTCTTTAGGATTTAAAGTCAGCGCTCGAGATTTAATACCGTCCTTTAATAAGGGTTTTCCCTTTGAAAATTTGATGTATCCCAAGTCGCTTCTCTTCTCTCTTGAACGTTGCCTTAATTAAGGCCAGACTTGGGTCTTTCACTCTCGCCACTCGGGACTTTAAGAGTAAACAGGTTTGTCACTGTGACTTTAATCTTCCCCGTGTTTTCCCTGCCAGAGGGCAGCTGTGTGTGGACGCCACGGAGCCGCCAGACCGTAAGCCACGGAGCCGCCAGACCGTAAGCCACGGAGCCGCCAGACCGTAAGCCACGGAGCCGCCAGACCGTAAGCCACGGAGCCGCCAGACCGTAAGCCACGGAGCCCCACCGTAAGCCACGGAGCCCCACCGTAAGCCACGGAGCCCCACCGTAAGCCACGGAGCCCCACCGTAAGCCACGGAGCCGTGCGTGACGCCAGAGATCTTGCCACCAAGCAGGAGTCTTCTAATTTTACATATTTGTCTCTAATAATGTCTTCCTGTCACAACCTCCTACATTCTTCCTCACTGCCACCATTACACACTCTCACAAGCCATAGCAGATCATAACAAACCCCTGCAGATCTCTACAGACCACAACAGATTATGGCAGATGTCAACAAATCACCGCAGATCACACTAGATCACAGCCCAGGAGAACTTGGACGCTGGGGTCGACCCTGCGGCCCATCATCACTCACTCCACCACCCAAGTCCACCACGCCCGGGCCAACAGGTTAAACCTTCATACGAAAATGAATTTGCATTAGTGAGTGTGTAGGCGAGTGACAGCTGTCGAGCTGCACTTGTTTGTCACGGGCGATGGCACGGGCTACCAATAGTCGCCCTGAGGATATTACTCCTGATCCAGGCACTCGGCGCTAATACTCTCAACAAGCCTTTATTGAAGGATCTGTGGCCCTGTGCCCACCCCGTCCCACTCCCTCCCTCCCTCTTGGAGAGCCAATATCCAAAGTCCACTTTGTGTATCAATTTGCAGGTAGTTGGATTCGAGCCTGCGACTAAATGCAAGATATTTCATGAGTGGCGCGTCAAGAGCTCAGGCCACAGTGCTCAGGCACGATATTGCAACACATCATTTATTGATGGAACCCGGAGATTGTTAACAAAGGCATAATATTGCAAAAATTCGAAAAAATGAGAGTAACACATTGTGTTACACAGTGGTTGTAACACAATGTGTTACAATGTGTGACAGAGCGACACACACACACACACAGTAACATGCTCACATCAAGGCTAAAATCCATACGCACAGACGGTAAAAATCAATAACAAAAGCCACATCAACTTCAGTATCCTGGCAAGAACACATTCAGTAAACAAGCTCACTATATGTATATTATATGTATTATATATATTATATTCATGTATAATATGTATATTATATATATAATGATATGGGTGGAGAGGGTCGATGAAGGGCAACAAGTGGTGCGATCCAGGAGGGTTAATGGCCCATAACACCTAGGGTGTACCCACACCACTAACACCTAGGGTGTACCCACACCACTAACACCTAGGGTGTACCCACACCACTAACACCTAGGGTGTATACCCATAACACCTAGGGTGTACCCACACCACTAACACCTAGGGTGTACCCACACCACTAACACCTAGGGTGTACCCACACCACTAACACCTAGGGTGCGACACATCAACTACCACTATAAAGGTTCACCAAAACACACACAGCTACCACAACCCGTCCTCCTATTTAGATAGTAGTTTCTGTAACCATTTCCGGTTTATCCAAATTCAATAGTACCGATTTGTACTTTCTAAACGCTTTGTACGTCGGTATATGTACTCTAGTCCTCATGGTTACTATAAGTACTACCAAAACAGGAGGATGGACTGGCTACTGATTGCATATTTCTGGACTGCCAAAAAGCCTTTGATACAGGACCACACAGGAGGCTACAGGCTGGCTACTGAAAAACACTCAAATGACGAGCGCTTGTAGTGTTAAGGGGGTGACAATGCTGGAGGGTTGGCTGGGGTTGTAGGGACGGAGGGGGGGTTAACTGGGGTTGCAGGGAAGGAGGGAGGGTTAACTGGGGTTGGAGGGGGAGGCACAGGGAGATGGGGGAGCAGGGACAGCACCTAGGGGGGGAGGGACAGACCTGTAGTGGACTTGGTGAAGAGAGGCTCGTAGCTGCGAGCCCTGGCCAGCCTACCACCGCCTGCCTCGGGGCCTGTAGGGTGGACACAATTGGCAGTCGGTCAGTGTAACATCTGTACTTCCTGTAAGTGTACCTCCACCACTTGTGCTCGCACCTGTACTGTACCAGGTGTACCTGCACCAGCTGTACCTGCCCTCCCTCCCCCACCCCGCGTGTTTTGGTAACAGTGAAGTTTTCAAGAAAATGTGGACAGTTTTCTGCCAGAAGTGTCGGACCAACCGGGCTATAGTGGGCCTGCGGGCCGCTCCAAGCAACAGCCTGTTGGACCAAGTTATCACAAGTCGAGGCCGGGCTCGGGGAGTAGAAGCCTCTCCAGGCATGCTCCACCGACTAAGCTTCATGGTTGATGATCTGACCAGCGAGACTGTTGGTGTCTGCAGCTCGCAGTTGGAAACAGGTACCGCAGAGGGGTACTGCTTGACGGGGTTCTGGGAGTTGTTCTACTCCCCAAGCCCGGCCCGAGGCCAGGCTTGACTTCTGAGAGTTTGGTCCACCAGGCTGTTGCTTGGAGCGGCCCGCAGGCCCACATATCCACCACAGCCTGGTTGGTCCGGAACGTCTTTTAGAAAACAGTCAAGTTTTCTCTTGAAGATGTCCACTGTTGTTCCGGCAATATTTCTTATAGTCGCTGGGAGGATGTTGAACAACCGTTGACCTCTGATGTTTATAGTGTTCTCTGATTGTGCCTATGGCACCTCTGCTCTTCACTGGTTCTATTCTGAATTTCTTCCATATCGTTCACTCCAGTATGTTGTTATTTTACTGTGTAGATTAGGGACCTGACCCTCCAGTATTTTGTCTAGGTACCGTTGTAGGGGTTTAACCCCCTCTGAACACAGAGGTGTGTTGGTCGTGTCCCTTGTATCCAAAGGCCGGGTCTTGAGAGGCCTTGCAGACATCATGGGTCACCTTGGTGCCCTTAACCACACTTGTCACTACCAACATATATGCACAGTCTACCCTTCCTACTGCTCTAGGTGTGAGGTAATCCCTTTTACATATTCCTGATACATATTACTGTGCAACTAGTCTGTGCAACAACCTGTCCCCCCCCCCTCCTCTCCACAGCGCTGGAACCAATCGTATCGGCGTATGCCTTTCCATTGGAGACTTTCAGCGCCGTGGAGAGGGGGGGACCTGCTGCATGGGTAACAGCTTCTCCCCCGAATCAACCTACCCTGGCTTTGCGCCCTGGTGAGGCCACTCCAGACCGACAACCAGAGCGCAACTCCATAGTCTCCTGAGACTGATGGATGCCTACTACTAGTGTGTGTTGAGGCCAACACAAGGTGAGGAAGTCTCAATGTTGCCATAACCCAACTAGTGTTTTAGTGAATGTGTTGATGGCGGCAGTGTTGTGACCAGTCACCGGACACACTATGGGTCAATATGGGGCGTTACTCCACCCGTCACGGTACACAGTACCTCCAGTAACATAATGACATTGTTTGACGCCGTAGCTTGTTTGCCTCCTCACGTTTCATAAAGTAATTGGACAAATAATACAGAGTTGAATATTGATATACCACCACCACATACAAGTTACCATTGCGGTGTATAACCAAACCATTATACACGAAATTGAAGACAAAAATGGCCGATTTTGTCAGTTTTAACTAAAAACATTCCATATACATCACACACAGAGATCACACTAACGTGATGCATCAAACAAACCAGGCTTTTTGTGCCTCGGAGAGGCTACGGGATCCAGTAAGTTCAGTAGAACTTCGGTTTCAACCCTTTTACCCTGTCGTAGCTCAGTCGATTAAGGCAGTGTCTGGGATGCTCCCGGACGCAGGTTCGAATCCTCGTCACGGCCCTTGTGGATTTGTTCATTTCATATACATAATGTACGAACATTGGTGTTAAATATTAGTTTAATAATTATGTTATTCATCATTATAAACCTGTAAACATTGAGTAGAGAGAGAGCTTACCAGAGGAGGTCCTGGAGCCCGGCGGCTGACCCGAGGCTCCGCCGCCCGCCTCCCCGCCGCCGCCAGCCGCCCCGCTGTACACGCCGCCGCCGCCAATGTTCTGGGGCACGGCGTGGGACACCAGCCACATGTCCACCATGTGGCGTGACGCCTTCCTGTGCAGGAGAATATCACAACATTACTGCACATGCTAAGACCACACCAGATATACACACACACACATAAGCCAGAGGCGGAACCAGAGAGCCAGAGCTCTACCACCGCAAGCACAACTGGGCGAGTACACACACACACACACACACACACACACACACACACACACACACACACACACACACACACACACACACACACACGAAGCAGCCTGTAGCAGCTATCTACCAGGTACCTATTTATTGCTAGGCAACAGGATGAAAAAAACTCTGCCCATCTGTTTCCATCGGCGCCGGGAATCGAACCTCGGACCACAGGATTACGTACCCAGCGTGCTGTCCCCTCAAGTCACCAGCGCCCCATATATGTGTGTATATATGTATATATTTTGTGTTGGTTACATGATAGACCCAATACACAGTCCTTACTGTAAATAAGGAACAATGTTAATGTGTATAATTTGGTAATTGTTGTCATCCAATGAGGAGTCAGACCCGTTAGTTAATGAGTCAAGAGGTTTATGGTAGTGGTTGAGGAGGCGTGAGACTTCGCTGCTCCAAACATTACGTCTCGCAACATACTAATTACACACTCCCGAAGGCCCGCAAGAACTTGCCTCATATAAATTACAATCCACATTGCCGTGGAAATATTTCCAGGGGAGTGTGGATGGTAATTTATATGAGGTGGGTCAGTAATGGCTCTGGGGTTCAGTAGTAGTCAGTGGGGGCCTGACAGCTGGGTGGACAGCGCTTCGTATTCATAGTCCTGAGGTTTCGGGTTCGATCCCCGGGAGACAAATTGGAAAAATGTTTCTTTCACCCTGATGCCTCTGTCACCTAGGTACCTCGGAGTTTGACAGCTGCTACAGGCTGCTTCCCGGGGGGGGGGGTGTAACAAAAAGGAGGCCTGGTCGAGGACCGGGCCGCGGGGACGCTAAGCCCCGAAATCATCTCAAGAAGGAATTGTATATGAATACCTAAACCTATGTATATGGGCAGCACCCCACGTCCACCAGACAGTGCAACACAGTGGTTGCCAGGATCAGGTTGGGTTACCGTTACCTGTGACAGGTGGCTACAGGTGACGGATCTCCCAACCATGAACACTCCAGGTGCAAACTGTGTAAGCAGGAACTGGGTCATAATCTCACACACTGTATTATTGATCGTCCAGTCATTAGACTCTTCAGACCTGCTGGTATGAGGTACCTGGAGCTATATAATTACTGTATTCACTCCCGTGTTGTTGAAGATGATATACTGCATCCATAGCTGCTAGCTCTTTGACACACAGTGTAACCTTTCATATAGTCTAGGGGGTAGCTGTGACCTAGTCCCCCTCCCCTTCCCTTCCCTTCCCCAGGGGTAGGGAACCGTGGGAGTGTGACCTAGTTCCCCCCCCCTCCCCCCCTCCACCACACAACCACTCCCACCTAACTACACTAAGTGTTGATAATTGAACTATTAATTCTAGCAATTAGGTTTAATGGGGGCAACGGCCCTTCATGTTTACTTTGTGTATTGAGGCGACCAGTGAGGGAGTGTAACGGTCTGTTGTGACCAGTGAGGGGGGTGTAACGGTCTGTTGTGACCAGTGAGGGGGAGTGTAACGGTCTGTTGTGACCAGTGAGGGGGGAGTGTAACGGTCTGTTGTGACCAGTGAGGGGGAGTGTAACGGTCTGTTGTGACCAGTGAGGGGGAGTGTAACGGTCTGTTGTGACCAGTGAGGGGGAGTGTAACGGTCTGTTGTGACCAGTGAGGGGGAGTGTAACGGTCTGTTGTGACCAGTGAGGGGGAGTGTAACGGTCTGTTGTGACCAGTGAGGGGGAGTGTAACGGTCTGTTGTGACCAGTGAGGGGGAGTGTAACGGTCTGTTGTGACCAGTGAGGGGGAGTGTAACGGTCTGTTGTGACCAGTGAGGGGGAGTGTAACGGTCTGTTGTGACCAGTGAGGGGGAGTGTAACGGTCTGTTGTGACCAGTGAGGGGGAGTGTAACGGTCTGTTGTGACCAGTGAGGGGGAGTGTAACGGTCTGTTGTGACCAGTGAGGGGGAGTGTAACGGTCTGTTGTGACCAGTGAGGGGGAGTGTAACGGTCTGTTGTGACCAGTGAGGGGGAGTGTAACGGTCTGTTGTGACCAGTGAGGGGGAGTGTAACGGTCTGTTGTGACCAGTGAGGGGGAGTGTAACGGTCGGTCTGTTGTGACCAGTGAGGGGGAGTGTAACGGTCTGTTGTGACCAGTGAGGGGGAGTGTAACGGTCTGTTGTGACCAGTGAGGGGGTGTGTAACGGTCTGTTGTGACCAGTGAGGGTGTGTAACGGTCTGTTGTGACCAGTGAGGGGGAGTGTAACGGTCTGTTGTGACCAGTGAGGGGGAGTGTAACGGTCTGTTGTGACCAGTGAGGGGGAGTGTAACGGTCTGTTGTGACCAGTGAGGGGAGAGTGTAACGGTCTGTTGTGACCAGTGAGGGGGAGTGTAACGGTCTGTTGTGACCAGTGAGGGGGAGTGTAACGGTCTGTTGTGACCAGTGAGGGGGAGTGTAACGGTCTGTTGTGACCAGTGAGGGGGAGTGTAACGGTCTGTTGTGACCAGTGAGGGGGAGTGTAACGGTCTGTTGTGACCAGTGAGGGGGAGTGTAACGGTCTGTTGTGACCAGTGAGGGGGAGTGTAACGGTCTGTTGTGACCAGTGAGGGGGAGTGTAACGGTCTGTTGTGACCAGTGAGGGGGAGTGTAACGGTCTGTTGTGACCAGTGAGGGGGAGTGTAACGGTCTGTTGTGACCAGTGAGGGGGAGTGTAACGGTCTGTTGTGACCAGTGAGGGGGAGTGTAACGGTCTGTTGTGACCAGTGAGGGGGAGTGTAACGGTCTGTTGTGACCAGTGAGGGGGAGTGTAACGGTCTGTTGTGACCAGTGAGGGGGGGGAGTGTAACGGTCTGTTGTGACCAGTGAGGGGGAGTGTAACGGTCTGTTGTGACCAGTGAGGGGGAGTGTAACGGTCTGTTGTGACCAGTGAGGGGGAGTGTAACGGTCTGTTGTGACCAGTGAGGGGGAGTGTAACGGTCTGTTGTGACCAGTGAGGGGGAGTGTAACGGTCTGTTGTGACCAGTGAGGGGGAGTGTAACGGTCTGTTGTGACCAGTGAGGGGGAGTGTAACGGTCTGTTGTGACCAGTGAGGGGGAGTGTAACGGTCTGTTGTGACCAGTGAGGGGGAGTGTAACGGTCTGTTGTGACCAGTGAGGGGGAGTGTAACGGTCTGTTGTGACCAGTGAGGGGGAGTGTAACGGTCTGTTGTGACCAGTGAGGGGGAGTGTAACGGTCTGTTGTGACCAGTGAGGGGGAGTGTAACGGTCTGTTGTGACCAGTGAGGGGGAGTGTAACGGTCTGTTGTGACCAGTGAGGGGGAGTGTAACGGTCTGTTGTGACCAGTGAGGGGGAGTGTAACGGTCTGTTGTGACCAGTGAGGGGGAGTGTAACGGTCTGTTGTGACCAGTGAGGGGGAGTGTAACGGTCTGTTGTGACCAGTGAGGGGGAGTGTAACGGTCTGTTGTGACCAGTGAGGGGGAGTGTAACGGTCTGTTGTGACCAGTGAGGGGGAGTGTAACGGTCTGTTGTGACCAGTGAGGGGGAGTGTAACGGTCTGTTGTGACCAGTGAGGGGGAGTGTAACGGTCTGTTGTGACCAGTGAGGGGGAGTGTAACGGTCTGTTGTGACCAGTGAGGGGGAGTGTAACGGTCTGTTGTGACCAGTGAGGGGGAGTGTAACGGTCTGTTGTGACCAGTGAGGGGGAGTGTAACGGTCTGTTGTGACCAGTGAGGGGGTGTAACGGTCTGTTGTGACCAGTGAGGGGAAGTGTAACGGTCTGTTGTGACCAGTGAGGGGGAGTGTAACGGTCTGTTGTGACCAGTGAGGGGGAGTGTAACGGTCTGTTGTGACCAGTGAGGGAGGTGTAACGGTCTGTTGTGACCAGTGAGGGAGGTGTAACGGTCTGTTGTGACCAGTGAGGATGTGTAACGGTCTGTTGTGACCAGTGAGGGAGGTGTAACGGTCTGCTGTGACCAGTGAGGGAGGTGTAACGGTCTGCTGTGACCAGTGAAGGGGGTGTAACGGTGAGTTGCACTGTTACGCCTGCCCCTTTGGGGTGGTCTGGCATCATGAGGGGTGGGTGTGTTAGGGGGGGGCGCAGAGCCCCCCCCGCACCAGGTCAACAGCCCCCCTACTGGCGCCACCGGCGGTCTCTCCTCACCTGATAAAGTAATCATGGACGAAGTCCTGGTGCTCATCCAGCCACGCCTCCATGCGCGCGCACTCCGGGTCATAGTTCAGGAGGGGCGGTTGCGGCGGCGCCCCGGCCCCGCCCACCGTCAGGTCTCCACCAATAGGCATCGCGCCTGGCACGGCGGAGTCCCCACTGTTGGCGTCCCCGGACACGCCCCCTTGGCTCGTCTTGATCTCATCGCTGTGGCTGCCCCAACCTGAGGGTAGAGAAGGAGGAGGGGTCAGTGTGGTAGATGACCCCACGTGAGGAGGGGTCAGTGGGGTAGATGACCCCACGGGAGGAGGGGTCAGTGGGGTAGATGACCCCACGGGAGGAGGGGTCAGTGGGGTAGATGACCCCACCTGGGTGAGGAGGGGTCAGTGTGGTAGATGACCCCACGGGAGGAGGGGTCAGTGGGGTAGGGAGGAGGGGTCAGTGTGGTAGATGTCCCCCACCTGAATAAGGAAGCAGACTCCATACACAGTTTCATATGTAGATATGATAAGAGCCCAATAGGCTCAGGACCCTGTATACCATTTGATTGACAATTGAGAGGCGGGACCAAAGAGCCGAAGCTCAACCCCCGCAAATAGAACTAGAGGAGTGCACTTTTGTGAGGCCCATTCTTGAGTATGCTGCCCCGGCATGGAACCCCCACTAAACAAGCACAAAACAAATCTAAAAAGGCTAAAACAAAAATGGAAAACAAGGCTGGGTCATGTGCTAATGGGGACTGAGGTATGAAGACTGAAGTGGACCTCACTACACTGGTCCTACAAGAAGGAATAGAGCAGCCATGATAACGACATAAGATACTAAAGGGGAGTGGATTAAAAAAATAATTATTATATATATATATATATATATATATATATATATATATATATATATATATATATATATATATATATATATATATATATATATGTCGTACCTAATAGCCAGAACGCACTTCTCAGCCTACTATTCAAGGCCCGATTTGCCTAATAAGCCAAGTTTTCATGAACTAATGTTTTTTCGTCTACCTAACCTACCTAACCTAACCTAACCTAGCTTTTTTTGGCTACCTAACCTAACCTTACCTATAAATATAGGTTAGGTTAGGTTAGGTAGGGTTGGTTAGGTTCGGTCATATATCTACGTTAATTTTAACTCCAATAAAAAAAAATTGACCTCATACATAGAGAAAAGGGTTGCTTTATCATTTCATAAGAAAAAATTATAGTAAATATATTAATTCAGGAAAACTTGGCTTATTAGGCAAATCGGGCCTTGAATAGTAGGCTGAGAAGTGAGTTCTGGCTTCTAGGTACGACATATATATATATATATATTATATATATATATATATATATATATATATATACGATATATATATATATATATATATATATATATATATATATATGTCGTACCTAGTAGCCAGAACTCACTTCTCAGCCTACTATTCAAGGCCCGATTTGCCTAATAAGCCAAGTTTTCCTGAATTAATATATTTACTATAATTTTTTTCTTATGAAATGATAAAGCAACCCTTTTCTCTATGTATGAGGTCAATTTTTTTTTATTGGAGTTAAAATTAACGTAGATATATGACCGAACCTAACCAACCCTACCTAACCTAACCTAACCTATATTTATAGGTAAGGTTAGGTTAGGTAGCCAAAAAAGCTAGGTTAGGTTAGGTTAGGTAGGTTAGGTAGACGAAAAAACATTAATTCATGAAAACTTGGCTTATTAGGCAAATCGGGCCTTGAATAGTAGGCTGAGAAGTGCGTTCTGGCTATTAGGTACGACATATATATATATATATATATATATATATATATATATATATATATATATATATATATATATATATATATATATATATATGTCGTACCTAGTAGCCAGAACGCCCTACTCAGCCTACTATGCAAGGCCCGATTTGCCTAATAAGCCAAGTTTTCAAGAATTAATTGTTTTTCGACTACCTAACTTACCTAACCTAACCTAACCTAACTTTTTCGGCTACCTAACCTAACCTAACCTATAAAGATAGGTTAGGTTAGGTTAGGTAGGGTTGGTTAGGTTCGGTCATATATCTACGTTAATTTTAACTCCAATTAAAAAAAAATGTCCTCATACATAATGAAATGGGTAGCTTTATCATTTCATAAGAAAAAATTAGAGAAAATATATTATTTCAGGAAAACTTGGCTTATTAGGCAAATCGGGCCCTGCATAGTAGGCCGAGAAGTGCGTTCTGGCTACTAGGTACGACATATATATATATATATATATATATATATATATATATATATATATATATATATATATATATATATATATATATATATGCGAACAAGCCTGAATGGTCCCCATGACAATATGCAACTGAAAACTCACACCCCAGAAGTGACTCGAACCCATACTCCCAGGAGCAACGCAACTGGTATGTACAAGACGCCTTAATCCACTTGACCATCACGACCGGACATAATGAGGTGATAGCCGAAGCTATTTGAACCACCCCACCGCCGGCACTCGGATGGTAATCTTGGGCATAGCATTTTACCAAATCACCTCATTCTTTGGGGCACACGTGAGGAACACAAATGCGAACAAGCCTGAATGGTCCCCAGGACAATATGCAACTGAAAACTCACACCCCAGAAGCGACTCGAACCGGCGGTGGGGTGGTTCAAATAGCTTCGGCTATCACCTCATTATGTCCGGTCGTGATGGTCAAGTGGATTAAGGCGTCTTGTACATACCAGTTGCGTTGCTCCTGGGAGTATGGGTTCGAGTCACTTCTGGGGTGTGAGTTTTCAGTTATATTATATATATCTATATATTATATATATATATATATATATATATATATATATATATATAATATATATATATAATATATATATATATAGAATCATTGTTCAAATTGAGGAACAACAGGAGAGGATATAACCGGAAAATAGAAACACAGACGAGTCACATCAAAAAGAACTTTTTCAGTCTACTTAAGTCAGACGAGGAAATTTTTCAAAGCCAGTTCGATAAGCAATTTTAAATTTAAATATGACATGAAAAACCAGTGAAGGTGACGGACATGGACACACTGGCACCAGTGATGCCAACACAAGAAAAACAAGTATCAAGGAACTTACAATTTGAATATACAAGTAATAACTTGGAGGCCAATATACAATTACCCGTCTCTCTCTCACACACCCCAAAGAGCCAGAGCTCAACCCCCGCAAGCACAACTAGGCGAGAACACACACACCACTTGGGCATAGAGGAAAGACGCCAGCCACAGTGTGGAGGCCTCGGAGCAGTCTACACATCTTGGGCGATGGTGTGTACAGGAGTAGCTTGGGGAGTGCCGAGTGGTGTGGAGAGTGGGGGTGTGGAGGCCAGGTGTGGAGAGTGGGGGTGTGGAGGCCAGGTGTGGAGAGTGGGGGTGTGGAGGCCAGGTGTGGAGAGTGGGGGGGTAGAGATCTGGGGTAGAGGTGGGAACCTGAAGTGGAAGGAGAAGAAATGGAAGGGGGTCTCTGTCTGTCTGCTCCTGGAAATATGAGGAATGGAGGGGGAAGAGTGGGGAGACGGGAGTGGGGGTAGAGGGGATGGCAGGGGATTGAGGGGAGAGAAGGGATAGAGGGGAGACGGGGAGGTAGAGGGGAGACGGGGCGGTTGGGGTAGGTTAAGTACAGTAAACCAACAACATTACCACTACACATGCAAGCCACTCAACATGAAGGTGCGAGATGTGGTGGTGGCGAGGAAGACACACCAGAGCAACATAGCGTGGTGGAGTCCGGGGAGTGGGCGGTGTGGGCGGCTAGCGTCCGGGGGTTCCACGCCTCCTGCCTCCAGTGGTGCCACCTTCTACGACGCCCATGGCCCTCATCCTGGTGCTGATGGACCGTGCTGTGTTGCTGCAACTGTAGCTGTTGCAGCTGCTGTAGTTGCTGCTGCTGCTGCTGCTGCTTGCCACAGTTGAGGAGGCCAGCGGAGGCCCCCTGACCCATGCCTGGTGAGGGGCAGCGAAGACCAGCCACGGTCACCTCCGACCCATCTCTCTCAACCTCACTCCCCAAACCTCCTCTTAACGTGGTCTCGATTTTTTCAAGGGGTGACTCCAGTGATCTCGTAGTACGAGGCCACAGCGACGAGCCTTGGCTGTAGTGGGTGGGCGTCTGGCCCCATACACCCCCCACCCTCCCCCACCTCCCCCAGCTACTCCAATAACCCCACCATCAGTGTTGTAGAGTTACGTCACAACTTTCACCCACACAGTCATCAATCTCTGCTTGTTCAGAGGCTTTCTGGTAATATCTTTGGCTGTTGAAGGTGACGGGTGAGTGACAGCGAGGAGTGAGTGACAGTGAGGAGTGAGTGACAGACGACACCAGCACACGCCCCGCCCTCGTCACTCTACCCTGGCCACCACTTATATCAATGCTCATGGAAATATTTTGTATATAACTAGATTTTTCAACGTTTTCGTGTGAGCTTGGTCTGTCAATTCTTTAGATCTGAGAATTTATAATTACGTAAACATGCTTGTAAAATCAAACTCTGATCAAACAGGAATTTGGAAAACAGTTTATTTTCCGTCATGATATCTCAAGATATTCACACGTTCTGAGTCACCTTCCCCGTCACCCAATGACACTGGAATGTTGATGGTGATGGCCCCGAGGCGATGTGCTCCGGGCTGGTGACAAGTCACCATGCTGGCGGCGGCGGCCACTATCACCAACCACTACACCAGACATATGATCTGTGAATCACCGTCTATTACCCCCTTGTGAGACAAGCGAGTCTTGGCCCGAGGCAAGTGGTGGCGGACAATTGTCTTATATCAACATGGTGATGATGGTGACCACCGCTGAGTGATCTATTACCCACTTGGGCACATCTCCCACTTCAACCTGACACCTCACGTCCACCGTCCACAATCACACAACCTGTCTGCTCCACTTAGCCTCTCTGACACCCCGTCTACCACACCCAATTATGCCATTGGTAGTGCGCTCTGAGAATATTGGTGCTGGGGGGGGGGGGTGCCTCTGTGCTGTGGGTGTTGCTGGGGGGTGCCTCTGTGCTGTGGGTGTTGCTGGGGTGGTGCCCCGGTGCTGGGTCTGAGATTAAGTGCTGGGAGGTGTTGGTGCTGGGGTGTGAGAGATCTTGAGCCAGTGTTCACAACAGTGGCACCAGCCCAAGGCTCCCGCG